ATCCAATGGTTGAAGAAAACATGCGAGAAATTCTGCAAAGTGGTGGATATTCTACTAAAACAACATATGCAATGCATCAGATACCGGTGCAACATCGGGCGTCCAGTATTGTCAGTGCTGACGGGAGGGGTAGAATTGATTGCTAAGACTATCGTTGCTATCATTGCTATTGTGATTGATATTGGTATATTTTTGTTGTTATGGTTTGTTTCATGAGTGAATGTGCTTTGCGGCTATTTCAGGTTTGTTGTTACTAGCTCGCTCTATTCTGCAGCTTTTTCCTTCTTAGAATACATAGAACTTATGGTAAATATCATGTATTGTGGTAAGAAAAGGTGGGATTATCAATGAGGGGTTGAAAATGATTTATGAATCAAAATGAGAAGTTCTGATTTGAGTTCTGGGGGTTTAGGATGGGTATGTTATGTTCCAATGTCTTCGTGCGTAAAGTTGATTCGTTAGTTATCTAGAGCAGTGGAAGGGGTTATAATAATGAATAGTTGTGAAGACCTGGTGGGTGGCTAGGGGTGAGGAAAGACACCGAGGGAAAAGGGGGAGCGAGAGGATCGTGAAGAAGTTGATTTTGCGAGGGAAAGAGCGAGAGTGGACAGGCCAGGGGGGAGCAATCGCTTGTGCGCCCGGATGCTCACGATTTCCCCTTTACCTCACTTCTGGCTTGGTTATATAAGATAACCACTTGGTTGATCATTCCCAGTGCGGATTGAATCAAGATTAGGGAAATCTGAAGAACATGATGCCGAAATAATTTGATACAAAGTGTGTGAGAAACTGGTCCGAGTCTTGGGCAACTTTGATTTTATTATCCTCTATTCCTCGCCTATATCTTGTGATTTTTTTCTCGTCTTATCTTGAATTTTTGTTGCGAAACGACTGACAGTTGTCAAGTGCTGTGGGTTTGTCAATATCATGGTCATCATTAAAGTTGTCACTTTAATTTTCATTGTAATTCCTACTCATCGTTTAATCCATCTAAGAATTTCGGCGAAATATAGATAGATGAATGTAGCGGGCAGTATTAAGGTAGTCTGCAAATAGCTAAAAAGGTAAAGAACATCAATGGGATTAAAAGATGAGCTACATCCTTCGCAGTCCACTGTGTACTTGCTGGCGTCACAATGAAAAGAAAGTTTTAAAGAGCAGAGGTATTTATATCACGATGGGTGACAGCAGAAAGGGGATCAGCTATGGACCCCAGGCAATGAGTGAGTGGATATGATCAAAAAAGATGGAGGATGGGCATACGGGTAGTTGAGTGGTCGTCAGGTACTTCGGAGCTGAATGAGAAGACTGGCCATTGGGGGTACTGAAGTTTTAGTGATAGCCACTTGGATTGGTGCTTGAGCAGTCTCGTCATCTATGATGAGCAAATATAGACGTGGAAAACTTAGCAGATTCGCGAAGGAGCTTTATAGGAGGTGAAGTTCTCTGGCAAAGATGGTAGTCGGAGTGCCAAAAGATTGTAGTGAATCTTGAAGTGTAATCGGAAGCGGAAGAGCATGGAAAAGAAGAGTGCATATAAAGAGCCTCCTCCTTTCATGAAATTGATTTTCTATTCGGAAATGTTAGAATTTGTTTCTATCCCGCAACAGGGGTAAGACAATCTTCAATCTCGAACGCACACATAGTTCAAGCCAGAAAACAATGAGGTGCTGTTGTTTTTTATGTGAGGGGGAAAAGGAAGGGATAGATGACAGACATTATTGATTTAGTGACATTGCCATCCATTCCACACCTGTCGTCATTTTCATACTTTTACGTGTTATTATCAAGTGATTTAGACATTAAGATTCGAAGGCTTAGGGAATAAAATAGGTTCAAAACTTTGATCTGGAAACGGGATATTGTTCACGTAGATGAATGGCATATGTATTCTCTCCTAGGATGAAACTCCTTGTTTCTCGTTATCATATACATGAAAGTGGTAGAACTTAGGAGAGGGTGTGATATTAATAGGGAGAGACGGCCAAAGAGGAGGGGCAGAAGAATGATCTTGAGGAGATGTGAGGTTCAGTGACTAGGGAAGCTTAGAAAAGGGAACTGTGCGCTAGTATGCTCACTACTTTATCCTCTGGGCCTCCTAGTCTACAGATACTGTTTTTGTTATAAAAGTCGTCGTTCCGGGCTTTTATAATTTTTCCAAACAATAAGTGCGGGAGAATGACCCCAAACATAAGTTTTCTCTATTGTATAGAAGGAACCTTCCACAGTAATATGCCTCTGACCATACTCCATGGTCTAACTTCGAGAGAAGATTCTGTTTTACTTCTTACCACCTCCAAGGCCCTCTGATGAAGCAAGGATTCGCTGCCATTTTCCGGTTCACACTTCTCTCTGTTGATTCTTAACCTCTTTCGTTGCATGTTCCTCAGTCCGATACTATGGCAAGTGGAGCCAATTTATAAGAGAGTATGTTAGCATTGAGAAAGTGGCAGTAACAAATAGGGAAAATGTGGGACGAGATGGTGAATGCGTTAAACCACAGAAATCTGTATAGAGTTGAGAAGTACTTGGCGAATTGATAAGTCTGTCTGAAAATTAATTCGTTCGTTCCTTTGGTCGTCTTAAAACTCCGTAAACAAATTCTTCCCTGGGTCGTTCAAAGGCGTGGCATCTTCGACGTGATATCTCAAGAAATTGAATAGCGCGGCAAAGGAAACAAACTGAGGGCGGGCAAAAGTTCCAGTTTCGTCACTGAGTCCAAGAGGCTCTGTGTCTATTATAATTTGGCATGTAAAGTAAGATCAAAACAATCGTCAAGGATTGAAGAGACGAATTGATTTGTATCTTGTTGTCACTCTTACCAACTTCATAATTGTTGTCATCATGATTTGATTGCCATGTCCCCAACGTTGAGCCCTGTCTGACAAATCGGAGGACAAACGCTAAACACAGCTGTGGCTTGTCAGATATTCCATGATATCCCATCATAGAAATTGTTATCATCCGCAAATCATTATACATACAGCGCTTGGAGTCGTTTCAAAGAGTCTCAGTCCAATAAATACACTTTCCCTTGATGGTAATCTCTCCACAACTGCGGGGTACACTTCCAAACCTTCTATCAACTGTTAAATAAACGTTCTTATTCCTTAGGTTTCAAACAGCAAACTGCACAATGATTGGGGAGAAATTATGAGATCTGCAACTATCGTCGTTGGTGGCAAGGCTTCGTGTATTTCTGAGCTAGTTGCGAGGTGTCTAGATGTTCGTGGTGGAATGAGCACGAGTTGGATGGAAGTTGGGACAAATCTTAATGCTATCATTCCTCTACTATCGGCTATTAATCACTTTTCATTGTCATATATTTTCACTAAGACTATCATTGACCTTCCATCTGATTTTCACCACAGCTTTTGCTCCAATTCAAATCCTCATCTTTCTTGCAGTTATCCTTGGAACGCAATAGTGGTAAAAAGCGAGTCTCAAACTCCTTCAACATGTCTGTGTTTTATTTTGATTACTAGTGTGGGACTTAATGCGTTAAGAATGGTAGGAAGAGGTGCTTATATACTTACTACGTGGAAAGAACTCTGGATTCATTGGGGTAGTGAACCAGGGTATGAGATGAGGGGTTGAGTCCGTATTTCGCTGTAGATTGGGTTTGTAGGGGGAAGATTAAGGGTGAATAACAGGTGTTGGAGTTGGGAAGAGCGTGTGGTAGAAGCTGATGAGAGATGGTGAATCAAAATGCATTCATTATGTTGCCTACTATTTTCTCGATACCTTACCTCGCCTGCACATGCTTTCTAGAAAATTTGTTCATCCTGCAGCCTATTCTAAACCATCAAGTTCTTTTCTGTGATGAGAATTCATCGCAGGAACTTACGAAGTCGGATAGGCGGTTACCATGTAGTGATATCGGATTAATTTAGGTGAAATCCAGGATTCAAGCTCCAAAATTCAGATTTCGTGGTGTGAAGTTTAAGAATACAATTTATCCTGTCGTCCAATATAGGTTTTCACTGTCATTTTAGGTCTACGCCCTTATTATCTCTGATACCATCTCATAAAGTGGTGACATTAAGATCTTAGACTGCACTTCTGACGAATTGTCGCCTCATAAGTCAAATTGTGATTCCTGCGCAGGCTATTCTTCTCGCCAGTCTGTCTATCTTTATCAACGTGGAACGCCTATTTAGGTGTAGAATATGGGAATTAGAAAGAGTGGAAGCTGATATATTGAGGTCGTAGAAAAGTGAGGAGTCTTGCAGGGGACTAATAGACAAGTGAACAGAATTCTGTAGATCGATGATGCGAACTGAAGTAAGTAAATGACTTCATGGTTCACTACTGCCATCTGAGCATTATTTCTACACTCGGGAAGTCGATAAAGGAAATCATTGCCAAGGTATATAAAAGATCTCTATTCTTGATATAGTGCAATAAACAGGAATTCAACACAATGATCATGGCAGAATGCAGGCTGAGTCGAATTCTCACCAGAGGGCTAGTCATGTCTCTCTACTCTACATTCCGGCAGGTCCAGGATCTCTGAGGAGGACAAAACTAGAAAAAAATTATTTTTTATTGTCAATTCTTACTTATTGTTATCGTTTTCATTCCAACCCGTATCCCTTTTCCCGCCCAAAGATCAGTCAAATACCACGAATCCATGTCCAGTGTTTAATCACAAGCTTGTAAGCCCAAAGAAACAGAAAGCCCCTCCTTGATCGGGCTAGAGAGTGAAAGGTACGAGTTCCTATACTTCAGTAACTTCAGGAAAGGAGAGTGCTTTTATACGATGAGTTTTATGGTATTATCGTGCCGTTAGGAAGTGTGACGACGGATAAAAAATGGGGCAAATAATGAGACGAACTCCGATTTATTGAATCCAGTTTCGTGCAGTATTTCTGCAAATCATATGTAAAACTCAATTCAAATCAATTGTTCTCAAACAAATCAAACCGGTCACTTCATCTGCTTTCCTCAAACTTAGTCCTTACTCAGTGATACCACCACCCCAATCACTAGACTCAATCCTACCGCCTCTCAGACCACAAAAGCTGCCTATCAGAAAACGGCCGCGTCTCAAACTCGCACTTCAACACCATCCTACAAACCATCACCACTTCCTTCTTCGCATATTCTTCATCCCTCCTCACCTCCCCCTCATTTCGATCCCACGTAATAGACACAATCTCCGCACCTTCTCCATCATTCGGTTTCACAGCAAAAATAAAATGATCTTCTTCAGTCCAGCTGCGACTGATATGGATATATATAATTCCATTCTCATCAGCTCCTTTAGGAGTGATTTCCCATCTGTGATCCATATCCGGCGCCTCGAACCCGGTTTTGAGTTTGCTGAGGTCGGAGGAACTGATGTGGATGTTCCATGCTGATGTTGCGGAGTCTTCCATAACTTGCGTGATTTGCTTAAATGGCTATTAGATGTGTATCTTTGAATATGAAATGTGTTTTAGAAGTTAGTACCCGAGTTTACTAAATCGAAAAGCGTGGTCTTAACGGTGTAAAACGATTTGCGAAATTTGCTCATTTGGTTGATGGGATTGATGCTCCCCTGCTTTATCTATATCGATGCACTTGTAATTAGTGCTTACTTCTTTTCCCGAAATTGATTCATGATTGGTCAGCTTTCTCGGCTCTTTTGTTGTTGAAAAAATGAGCTCGCCTAATTATACGCAGGAGAAAAAAATTGATGGGATATGATCATTTAAATTTCTACTGAAATTTTCTGAAATAACTGTATCAAAAATCAACCACAAATAAGTTAAATGAGTTCAATAAAATCAGGAGAGAAATTAATTTCTTATTACTTGAATTAATTTTAAAGGTTTTATTTAATGTAATTTTAAGGGGGAGTAATCAAGTTACAAAGATACTACGAAAATGGTCAAATTCCGCTTGTTTTTTCTCTTACGAATAGCTCGCTTAAGATACGCCCCTTAAAATCTCCGCTTATGTTCGTACCGCGCAGTTTATTAGATGCTCAAGCTTACAAAATCTGTGTTTTTGTAAATAGCGATCAAGTGTCTTGATACAAGTATGTTTCAATGCGTGACGAATATGAAGAGATCTGCGTATACACCTGCATCGTCGGCTCGAAAGCTCATGCTTTTGAATAATACTCCTTCAGAGTTTCGGTAATTCGACCACATCATGACGAAATAGAGAATCAGAAAGATATCAGCAGATTTTAGTACTTTCCATCTTTCCAACTTGTACTTGCTCATGTCAATCTACTGCCTCCTAACTTCTCAAGGCCTCGCATATCCCTAGACAACTTGCGTCCTTCGTCGTGCTTGACTAGGAACATTTCCAATGACTCTGTTACCTGAATCTGGTTGCATTGATTGAAACCAAAAATTCTAGTATGGTAAAAGCATCGATTGATCTGAATCTATATACTTCGTGACAAGGACTAGTTGAGTTCCATAAAAAATAGATTTCCTCTCCCAAGTAGTCGCCCACTAAATCCGACTCTGTGATTTCCTACCCTGAATTATATCCTAGCCCATTAATTTCCCAATAAAGCAACGTAAAAGAATAACATAATAGAAGACGACTTCCAGTCCAAGGAAAATGACCCCATTTACACCCCTCCAAATTACTCCTAATCCTAAGAAAAATTATTTATAAGAAGAAAAAAACCTTCGATGCCAAAGAAAAGACACGAATGAACCAGTGTCACCTATATACCCTAAAACCTGGACTTTTCCGTTAACCTTTATTATACCCAAAACAAAGACACCGCCTAAGTCTCGCTTAGAACCTAGTTATTGTGCATTGCTAGCCCTGTTAAGAATCCTTCTCCACTCGGGGCTATCATATTGAAAAGGATCTCGATTCGAAGAGGACGCTGAAGAGTAACGACTAGTGGTAGAGGCACGAGAGTTACGTTGAACGGTGGCAGCTGTGTTATTTAGGGGAGCGTTAATAGAGGAAGTTCTAGAATGAGCCGAGGAATGTCTGGATGAATTGGAATTTCTACTATTGCCTCTGGCTGAGCGAGCAAGATCCTGGCTTGTGGGCCTACTGGTAGCGCTAGATTGACCAGCTATGGAGGCATCCATAACCGGCTGCTGGGGACGTGCTGGTCGAGGAGGAGCCTGATTTGATTGAAGGGCATTGTTCGGGACTGACCTGGGAAGTTCTTGAGGTGCCCGATTAGGATGGACATAACTGGTAGAGGGACCTGGTGTTGATGAATATCCTGAATCATTAAGAGATGCATCAGGAGTGCGAGGGGGTTGTTGCGTAGGATCGTTGGTATCTCGTATATACCCATCTTCAAGCAACGTCGTTGTACTTTTAACTTCGAGAGGCCTAGATATACGGCCCGTTTAGGCAGCTTTGCGAGCTTTTTTACGTTCATCTTTTTTTCGGAACATATTCATGATAAACAACCGAGTGGTCTAGATTAGTAGAAAGAAGAGATATTTTTCTGGCTTTCAATGATGCCAACGAGTGAAGTATGATCAGCTAAAGAATATATATGTGTATATAAATGTTTTTCCGCTGCTGCTTTACATTTTATATTCGAGGGTGTCTCGAAGTTTAAGTAGACAAATTTTGAGCTTCACAAGGTGTATTGAAGAAGCCTGGCTATATGAATAACCGAATAAATAGAACAAAATATACTATTTTTAAAGATAAACACAGTCACGAGGTGTCAATAAGTCCCGGCGATGAGTACTAACATCTTGACTCGGAGAAATATATTACTCACTGTTACTTGAAATTCACTACAACATAAATGTTCGATACTTCATTCTACTAAATGACACATCGTTGATGTTCCACTCTGGGTTGAATGAAAAGCCATCCACCGTTCCAATTCGACTTGGATCATGCATCGATGTGATCGAAATCACAACTGAATAATAAACCCTCAACGATTCCAACCCACCTTGGACAATATGTCCATATACTGTTCGAGTTCTAACTGAACGACGAACAAGATGAAGGGCCGACGATAGCATGTTCAGCCCTAACATTGATAGGTTACGATGTATAGGGTTCCTTATTTGCCCTCGATTTGCCAAGACTTTGAGCGGTGATTCTGGCAATGTATTTGTCCATGATGAGACTTCATCTAAGATTGAGACTATGTCACAAAAGCCCTAGGAAGTAACGAGTACAGAATAACCATATATCTTGAAGACAATTGAGAGGGTAACTGATATTGGAAATGCTAGACATGACTTCTCATGCGGTCTCGAGGCGGTTACTTCAAACCCACATCTAGCCCTAACGCGGGGTTACTACCCCACCTCCATCATGAACACAAATTATTTCTAGAGACAAGCAAGGAACTTACTTCTATTGTGCACAGGAGCATGACGTTTCGAAGGTTTGAAGTTTTCAATCAGCCGCCTCCATTGGAATGCTTTAAATCAATATTGAATGATTGACTGGAGATTTGAAGGCAATCAAGCATCAAAGAAACTCTGGTCGAGATCAAGCAGAGCCGTCGTTCGCATGTACAGAAGCACGTATCGACATGCCTCACCCTACAGACTATACTGGCAATTGGGCTTCATGAAAAGAGAAAATTTGTGGGCAACAGTCTGCCAATCGTTATATGTATGTAAGTTGAATCACTCGAATCCAGAAGTTGATGTGATAGAAACGCAATCATTGCAAAAAAACACCATTACTTGTGCGCAGATCTAAAGAGACCGACATAGCCACTATCAGAATGCGATAATAAAGGGATGGAAAATTGTTTGCGACGAGAAAATACTTGGAGGTTCACCAAAACAATTATCGATTGGAAATTGCGATGGCAGATATGATTTTCAATATCATATCTTGCTTATTATGGTGGAAACCTTATTTTTCTGGTTTCAAAAATTATTTGCCTGAGCCTTAGACAGTTGAGGTACTATATAAATTTAAAAGTATCAAAATACTTCGCCTTCGGGCATTGTAAGTATTTACCGATCCTTTCGCAATCAACATCCAAATTAACGATTTCAACAGTGGTCAATTTGAAACGATACAGAGAAGATTAGCATGGCCCCTGCACTAAGGATGACACGCTCAATCAAAGAGAAGCTACCAATTTTTTTGCATTTTTTTCGACTGGATTTATGTCGCAAAGGATGGATAGATAATGTTCATGATTTTTGCTATTTCATTTTCTTGAGGGTCTCGAGATCTTTCTGGGTCTGATTAGGTAAGCGAATGAATTATGGATTTCCGAGTTCCACAATTTTTGGAGTCAAAGCCTGGATCTTTTTGTCTATGATGTATGGAGGATGTGTTTGTAGATATTCAGATTCTACTTCAATCGTGTTCAATCTAGCTTACACCTTGAATGACTTGATGAAAAAATACAATAATACTCATACTATATATACAAATTCAAATCGAACATTGAATCTTGATATTCATCAACAGAAGTGATATAAGATCCGTCGCCTTAGAGACCCACAACATAAGACGCGCTTAAACGCGCCGACCCCGCGACTTGACGCTTGAGATCCATATCAAATATACTTTAACTTTAACCCTCCCATGAATAGTTAAATTTCTCACAATCATTATATACAAGTACAAGAATTTCCCTTTGTGTTCCCCAAATTTATATCTTCTGCAAAAATGGATATCGATGAATTTCTCAACGATCCATTCGAGGACGCATTGCGACCCAGAAATGCCAATACACCCGAGGCAGACCTACAAGCTTTAACAAGAGCATGGATTAATGAGCGTGGAGCTCCAGAGATTCTACCGTTGGTTCACACCCATTTTCACCACCTTCGACGACTTCGAGGGTCCTACGATATTCTTATTTATCCTTATTTACAATCGGGACTGACATCTGCTGAGATAATAGATGGCCTCCCAATAATCTCGTCGAGCGAGTTACAGAACGAATCAAAAAGCAAATCGAGAAAGTAGAAGAATTAACTGGAGATATGGATCCGAAGACCAATTTTGGTCTAATATGTTTACAAACGGAGTTGGAGAGGTGGAAGTATCTAATTAGAGGATTGGTCAGGGCTAGAATCGCAAAGGTATGCCTGAAAGATGTATGACGTGGATGCGCATTTGCTTACTTGCACATTGTAGATTGATGTGCATACTTTACACTATCTGAGTAACGAAGACCTTCGAGCACGATTATCGGAAACCGAAATTGCGTATGCTACGAGACATCAACAGCTATTGCATAACCATTACTTATCGAGTTTCTTGGGGAGTTTCCCGAGCACATTACAGAATTTAAATGATCAAGCTGGAGGTATTTCTATGATTAGTGGACCGGATGAAGATACAGCGGTATTTGCAAGAGGTACGGGAAGTTACGAAGAGTTTTCTGGTGATGGTGGTAGCGTATCTGTTTTGGGAAGAGGGAGAGATGGTGATGATGTTAAAGATGTTGGGAGAGGGGAAGTTGTGATTGCGAGATGGTCGGATATTAAGGAGCATGTTGAGAGGGGAGAAATGGAATTGGTCTGAAGAGAGGTGCACTAACGACAAGATGCACCATGCACTGTGCTCCTCGCCATCTTCAATGACGATAAACGACAATGCTGCCAATAATGGCGCTTGTGGTGCGATTTACCCATCCGAAGCTCTCTCGTTTGGCGACTCCTCTACTTGCTTGTGTCGCCGAGAAACATTTTGTCCCAAACATTACCATGGCTGGGGCTCTCGTTGGAATTCACACCTATTGCGAATTATCACACTTTATGAACAGCTAATAGGGTATTACCTGGAAATACATCATTTTGTATCAGGGGAGACAAAGAGATATCAGAAAGATTCGAGAAAGGAATTTCGCACCTTTCTCAATTAACTCACTCAGCAAATTTGCAGTTCCGTCTCGAGGGGTATTCAGAAGACCTGCTCCATCTAGAGCAGAATTTTATGGATTAACTCTTACTTATGAGATAGGCAAGTAAAAGCCGACACCTGGGTATACAGACTCCAATAAGGAATTAGAAGTACTCGATAATGAGAGTTCTGGCTCACATATTTCGCTAATGTTAATTCCGTGAGTGTTTGCACGTGAAAAAGCAATTTATTTTCCTCAAGTATCCATGTATTCCAATGCATTGATTCAAGCGCAAGTATATATGTATGTATTCAAGCTTTAGCGGTCCGGGTTCAGAAGGAGAAGAGGAAGCAACAAAAAACGCATGAAACTTTTTTGTCTACATTTTCACAGAAGTGTTCGATTTCCGGTACTTCACGTCATACAACTGGGTGTTGAAAGGTGATTCTTAGAATATCAGGAATTGCCAATACGGAATCCGGGAATGTTGAATTCTCCCTCAAGTAAACAACCTTCCTGGTCTTCACATACCGAGTATATCTGCAGAAGACAAAGAATCACCATATCAGTGCTCGGGGATAGTAACAATTCACAAGGACTTCTCGGCCCAGCCCTCGTTTACTTCGCGTTTATAAATTTGGGTCATCGGTCGCTCTTGTCAAAAGACCCTATGGTAGCATGGCTAGGGGACCAGCTGATTAACTGTGAATGGTTAGGTGGAAGGGAGATCCGTCGAAAGGGGTTATATGCTTGGAGAGGGAGGTATTGGAAACTGTCAGCGTGCATACTTAACTCAGGAGGATGGGGGGAGATATCATATTTTGAAGAACTGTACTTCGTTCATGAAATTCATTTCTACTGATAAATGAATCATCTGTTTGAGCACCTACCATCACCTTGCCCGTCGACATACCCAAGTTCTTTCCTCAACTCTCCAGAGCTTATACATCCTAGAGGACCAAATCGATAAGTTCATAAACACATGTTGACACAATGAGGCTTCCCATTGCTCTGGGCTCTTCGAGGTATAGGGCTCCGAGATAATCCTGAACCAGGAGACTTTTCTTGGATGCTTCTATCGTTATCAAGCAATTGGTGAGAATTTATTGAAGCTATTGTCCTTGTTGCTGTTTGGTCGATAGCAGCCGAAAGCAAGTCACATGATTCTGCATGATTTCCTATAAAACATCAAGGAATGAATGCGTTACTGGCGTGATATCTGCATGCTTCATTCAGGAGACGAAAGTTTGAAGACTTTCATCATTTTGCCCGTCCATGCACAAATAGCAAGTGAGTGAAGGGAGTAGTAAATTAACTGATCATTGCACTGTGAGTAGATGGGGATTGAAGCTGTGACTCGACTCACATCAAATAGTCGTTAGTTTTGGGAATCTACTACGCTACAATCCGTGGGCATATCGAGGTTATCATCCATTCAACGTAAATGAGACAACTCTCAATATCTCGGAGATCCTGGCCATGAATTGTGAGAGTGCCTCTATCGGCAACAACGACACAGGATACCTAGAAACTAGAGTTCTCAACCTTATTAGTGATTTTGGCCAATCACCCAACTCAATCACGACCTCGCCAAGCATTTCATCAATTGATCGATGCTACCACCACGCGACGGCCCATAGCGTTCTGATGATACGATAGTCAAGATCCATAAATTGAGGGAATTATTATAGCTTTTTTTTTTTACATGAGCTTGAACCTTAAAAAGCCAATTGAATACCGGTATGCGTTTCGATTGCCCAATCATCCCATCGAATAATCTCTAATTGTGGTATGATTGGGTGAATGTGGGGTCTGTTATTGTCATAACCTTACATCGTATTGTCAAGTCGGTAATCATCGTCAATTGGTATTCATTTTTGGCTTAATGACATGTTATCAAAGGTTCGGAATAGGTTGGAATGGTCGCGTGTGACATGTAGCTAGAGAAAAGGAAAAGGAGGGGGCGGAGAGGAGAGGAAAGGAAAGGAAGAGAAGGTGACAGGGGTAAATTCCCCGCATTGTCCGATTCCAATGCTAATCCATAAAAGGAAAGGTCAATTGTCCTCCTCGTAGCTACCCCGCATTACAATCCAACACGTGAGGAATATGGTGATCTTTTGCTTGCTCGTACGACCTGACCTTGTTTCCAATACTTTATAACCTCTTCTTCCCCCTCTTCATCCATTCAACCTGAATACCAAACTTTCATCAAGTCAATCATCTTCTTCAAATCTTCATCAACAACTTTAACCACTTAACCAATTCAACACCATACCATTTTGATATACCTCTTCAGTCGCAATCATGTCAACCGCAGAAATTCCTATCATCAAAGTGTTATTCACACTTCATGCTGGCATGGATGCTTTGGATTTCATCGGTCCCCTTGAAGTTCTTAGCCGTGCTCAGCATGATGTTAATGATCCAAGTAAGTTTAATTCATGTGCTTTCATGATTGAAGATGCTTGAGGTCGAGTGCATGACTCTTTGTTTGTTTTTCATATCTACCTTTGACAACCTTCGTTTGTTCAATTGCTAACCTCCAACTCTGTCATTACAGAATCCAAGGCATTCGATTGCAAGTTCGTTGCTGCCGAGGAATTTACTGTCTCCAATCAAGGAGCTGCATTCCGTGCTCACTTCAATTACAAAGATGCTTATGCCACTCTTTCACAATACGATATCCTCATCGTTCCAGGTGGTGGATCTGATCAAGTCCTCAAAAACAAAGCTGAACCTCTGGGTCTCATCAGAGCTTTCTCTGATTTGCAGAAGAAGCACCCTGAGAAGGAACGCACACTTCTATCCATCTGTACTGGTTCTCTCTTCCTTGCTCAACAAGGTATCCTTCATGGTCTTTCAGCTACCACTCACCCAGACTACTTCGCCAAATTCGAGAATATCAATAGTGAGGCCGCACAAAGAGACTTGGCAGAACGTTGTGATGTTGTTGAGGAGAGATATGTGGTGAACAATCTCCGATTCGATATCGATTCTCCAGAGGAGAGTCAATATGTTCGTCGCAAGTCTGATGCTAGACGTCCATCAAATGCTCGTAAGGGTTCCAATGCTTGGAAGGAATCAAACAATCGTCGTGAAAGTAATGCTCGTAGAGCTGCTTTACGTCTTGGTGGTCTTCGCGTTATTACCACCGGAGCCATCACTTGTGGACTTGATGCTAGTTTGTATCTTGTCAGCGTTATGGTCAATGAAGAGACTGCTGGCGAGATTGCTAAGTTTATGGAGTATGAATGGAAGAAGGGTATTGTTGTTGATGGAATTGACATCTAAGGCGTTTGGAGTTGGAATGAAAGAATGTGTTCTACATTAAAGCATAGAATGCAATGGCTAGATAAATAGCTTCGGATGGTAATTGGGAACGGAATGGATGGATGGACGGATATGGGTTATAACGATATGATATTTCAATGGATATTTAGCTTAGGTATACTTACAATCTCAACTTTTTTTTTGCTCTATATACTATTTTCTCAAGATGAAAGATGATATCAGCGCAGTTTGCGTTTAATATTGAGATGAGATTCACTTCTTTGTAGAACCTTATCTTACTCTTACTCTTACTCTTAAAGGGATGCTTGGACTATCTATTCTAAGTAGGAATTTATGTAGGTACTTATCTTTCTTTCTTTCTTTCTTTCTTTTTGATCGATTGATTGATTGGTAGGTTTGGTGGGTTGGTGGGTTTGGAATGAGGGAGGTTGGAGGGCTATGAGGGTAAGAGGGTGAGAGGGTTATGGTTCTGTGGATGGCTGGTGTAGTAAGATACTTAGGTAGATATATGAAGGGTGCGGGAAAAGTAGATTGTCTCGCTCTTACCCAGATAGCTCTCACTCACTTTCATACTTTTTGATGTTGTGTTGCAACTCTACAGATCTCGGTATTTCTGGATTGTGTGTAAGGCAATTGATCACTCATTATTAGTTCATCTCATCGTAGTTTGTTGTTCTTTAATTCTCACTTTGATAGTGTTACTTTGACGGCGTTTTGTTGGGGGGGGTTAAATATATTTGATTTTTTGTATTTTTTATCTTTTTAACTTTTTTATGTCTTTTTGATTTTTCGTCCTTTTTTAATCCTTTTTCTGAATCCTTCTTTCTGTTCTTTTTTTGTCTTTTTATCTTTTCATCCTTTTTTTTCCTTTCATATTTTGAATCATCCATTACATTAAACATTAGATGGAGGTGAATGACAAGAGACTTCCCTAGGTATGTATGGATGACCTCCTAGAGCTTCTATAGCTTCTATAGCTCCATGAACTCCTAACTCCAAAGCACCTATAAATCTCATAATCCCTATAACTCCCTGAACTCTCAAAAATCCCAAGACTCCTAAGACTTCCAAAAAAACTTCCTAATATCGAAGCTCAGTCCACTCCTCATCTACTGCACCATCTTTCCTCTCAACCTCAGCCTTGTCCTCGAGTTCATGCGTGATATCTTCCATGCCGCCATTTTTTCCTTTCTCGAGATCATCCATTTCAGCATCTTGTTTCTTATCACCACCCATATCTACCTCGACTTCTTGATTGACTCTCGTCTCCAAGTTCTCAGCGTCTGTTTGCGAGGAGTGCTCTATGCTAGAAACTGTATTTGGGACTTCTCCCTCCATCTCATCTTCAGCTTCTTGGTTTGCCATCGAATCATCCTTGATAACCTCTTCTTGGGCCGATCTCCTTTGCCACCCATCAGACTCCCTCAGCTCCTGTTCTTTTCTCAAATCATTTCTGACCTGACTTCTAATCTCCTCTTTTAAATCCGATTCTCTACTTCCCCTACGATCATATATCTTTTCCAACTCCTCGGTCCAATAATCCTCAAAGGCCATCATATGTGTCCTAAACTCCTTGAGTTTCTTGTTTTCCGCTTCCTGCATTTTACGGACTTCCTGTTCCAAGATGTCATACATTCTATTGATCTCTCCATCAATAGCATCGATTCTCTCACCCTTCATCTGTACCTTTTCCGCTTCGCGTTTGAGTTTTTCAATCCACACCCTCAAAATTTCATTACTACTATCATGCTCGTCTAATCTCTCCAAAACCTCCTCCATTTTTGCTTCTTGGGTCATAATTCTCGTGGCCAAGATATCAGTTTGTATCTGGCGATCCTCCTCCATCGATTGTGCCCTGCTCCGTTTGTTTCTAGCTTCTGCGTCTTTGACTCTCGATACGGCTCGTAAGACACCGACTTGTGCTTGGAGCGACTCCATAACTTGTTCCATGCGGTTTACTCGTTCTTGCTCCTTCTCTAATGCAGTTCTAACATTGACAAGTTCCACTTGTGTTTTCACATGTTCGTCAACATTAGAGGTGTCATCTGTTTCTCTCACTTCCTCGGAGGATTGTTCGATTTTTGTGGTTCTCGCTTCTTTCGTGTCGTTCGTCTCGCTTTCCACTTTGGTAAGTTTGGTTGAATTGGTCGATATGGTCACTTTGGTAGTTTGGGCATCTTCGTGTTCACTTCTGTCGCCTTGCTTGACCGAGTATCTCAATAAAATTGGCATGAAAGTCATACCGAATATATATAAGAAAAACAAGATAGCCCAAACTTGACGACAGCCTTGGTACCATAATAATTCCTCATCAGTGAGAGGAGGTGATAGAAAGATGTATAGAGGATCAGGAGGACAGGAGTATATGAAGAAAGTAATGCTAGCAGCCTGGGTGACGGCGTAGGCTATTTCGGTTGCGATCTTTATTGATCTGATCATGATGATAGTGTTGGGTGTTGTAGCTCTTGGAGATGATGTGGATGTACTTTTGATGTAGAATCTGAAGTCTCGAAGTTGATAATGGTGTGAGGCAGGGAAGCCAATATGAAATAATGAAATTGTTTTCCTGAGTTGAGTGGTGGTTGTTGAGAAGAGAAAGAGAAAAAACTTGTTCAAATTGGGGACAATTTGAAGTATTTATATGTGTGGTTTTCCAGTAGAAGTCTGACGTTGAAGCCATTGACACTTGCTTAGACATTTTGACAGCTTTAGCTTCAACGTAACTCGATTGGGAGGAGATCACCCCCTCAGTAATACTAAAATAGAATATCAGAGTTGATCGGCGAGAGAAATTTTCGTCTGGTGGTATACCTAACGATGAAATTTGGGAAAAAGTTGTACTAGGTGATCTAGTCAATCTCTCAATAAGTATAGTCTATGAAAAAGATCGACGAACGTTAAGGAGTGCTGTCATATTTATAACTTTCTACAGTTTGGCGGGATAGATTAAGCTTTTTTCGGTTAGCTGCTACTCGTAGATGACAGGTCTCAATAGCTTCCAAGGTCAAATATCACGCCATAGAAATCGAAACGTCATTTGGAGAGGCGTGGAGAAGGCGCCGTTATCATTATAGTATGAAGTGAAGCTTACAGATCCCCCAAAAGTTGCATCTGCCATATGAATATCCATCATTAACTTCGTAAGCTAGATATACATTTTGACGCCATTGAATCATTCGGACTGTCCTCATAGGTCTGAAAATTTCTATCGAGTAGTTTCCTCTTTTGTAAATGACTTAATGTAAAAAAGAAGAATCACTTCAGTAACGCATCTGAACAGCTAGAAAATTGAGGAAGAAGAAGTGGTGATCCTAAGCTAAGATGAAACGCAATTCACCTAATCACACAAACTAGATGAAATAAGTGACGTGGAGGTGAGGATTAAGTATTTCCTCGCATATAGAAAAATGGATTTTATAAAGAATGAACATGATTACTATTGAACTAGTCATACCCCTTAGAGTTTTAACGTTAAGCTTATAATATATTATATATCTATTTAGGCTAGTACTTTCTTTTATTACTAATATCATAAATGAGTATCTACAAATCTAAACTTTTAAATTCCTTTTAATTAATTACCTTAAATCTTTCGAATTATATGTAGATTTTGATTAATTAATTTACCCTTCTAACCTTTAGCTTTTTAATTTTTAGTAATCCCTTTTACAAGTATTCATCTTAGGCCTGATTTGTTTATATATGGTAATACAGGCTATAAGGTGATTGGTATGTTTGATATATCGAGGTATTTGATGTATAATTGAAGAATCTTATTAGTCGATTGTTTATAATTAAGATTCCTAAGATTTATATATAGTTAATTGAGAGCTGTGAATATCCCGATTGGGCTAAATGCTTAGCGAATCCTATAAAATCCGAATTAAATCGAATTTTTAATTTTGTTAAATTGAATTAAAAACTGATTGAAAAATGAATCTAAAGTATATTAAGGAATGAAAACGAAACTTGAAAAACTGAATCAAATTTGATTTGTCGAAATCGATTGAAAGGTGGGTTTTAATTATATCAAAAAGTAGGAAAACTTGAAAGAGAATTTAAGATGTAAATATGTTGAATTGATTTACTGATTTTTTTTTGAAAATTGAAGAGATGTTAAAGTTGAAAACGGGAATTCGTTTTTATGTAGGTCATTAGAAAAATGGATTTTATAAAGAATGGATATGATTATTATTGGACCAGCCATACCCCTTAGGGCTCTGGCGTCGAGCTTATAATACATTATATGCCTATTCAGGCTAGCACCTTCTTCTCATATCACCTTGTTCGAGATTCATTGCCAGACGTGTAGAACACGGTGCAGTCTGGCAATCGACGCTCGAAGTATGAAAAGTTCCCGTATTATAGTGCAGGTAAATAGTATGTAAATCTTGATTGCAAGTAGCCCTCTGTGATTCCGGTCATGTATCTTGCGATTCTCAAATATATGTGAAATTGCCAAAATGACCATACATATGAAAGTATGTGAGAATTAGTGGCAGCTCGTGAAGAAGGAATGATGCACGGGAACTAGATTTGGCCCAAAAGGAAATTGAAGATGGAATAGGAAGAAAAAGGATGACAAGGTTGAAATGAACAAACTAGTAGGTCTGAGTTTGATCTCCAATTGACTTATTTCGACATATCTAACTTCGAAGAGTTCAATTAGATCGTCGTCTCAAGTAAAAAGTTGAATTGATCGGAGCAACGACAGCTTCTACTTTTGACTCTCATCCAAATCGGCAATTCGTTTTGTATTCATATTTCAACTTCGAAGACAATGCACGTTTTGACGCTGATTGACAAGTATGTCTTCGTCATTTATGTGGTTTACACCTTGATTGACATCGCAACCCCGATCTCATCAAGATTTTTGGAATTAATGATAAGTATTACACGCGATCTTTGAGGTCTCAAATTCCAAGAGGATAAATTTGGCTCGCTCTACGTTCGTTCATTTTAGTATGTTCTCAATCAATGGAGCCTTCTCGTTTGGAAGAGGCAGTGCGAAAATCCAAGAGAATCACTTCTGCCTCGACGATTTACCATTAGAGGAAACACTTCAACACTTTCGCTGCTCGCAGGATTGCATATTCCGTCGCTCAGAGAATGAGTCACCATGATATTACATCTTGAGCGAATTGATCATAGTATGGTGAAGATGATATCATCTTCACCCGGGTCTCTGCGGCATTCGACAAAGAAGAAAAATTACGCTACACCCGTTGCGAAAGAGATAGGGGAAACTACCATTCGTCGCTGCATGGAAGACCTGGTTTTAAGGACCAAATGTTGTAGAAATTTCCTCATCTGAGTCCACAGTCAAAGCTACTTTTCGAATGATTTTGACCTAGTCTTTACATGTGAATCCAAAAGAAATCAAAGCCATGGCCACGTTCTGCTACAAGATTTCATGTACCAGATACTTGTCCTATCAAGCTTACTTTGCTGTGTTGGGCTTTCAAACCTCACTCTGGGATACTCTGGTAATTTGAGTCCGCCCATAACAAAAAGGGTTCTCAGTGAACAGATGTAGCTCCATATTCTCGATCACCTGAATGCTAACGCATGGAGTGGATGGGGTTGATTTTTACGAGACAATGGAAGCGCGATTACATACGACTTGCTCAAAATCCGATAAAATAGTTCGAAAAGAAGCGCAAGACGAGCCTGCAAGTCTGACATCAAAGAGCGACTGAGGAGGCTGGTGATGAGATGAGCCTTTACCTACTCAGTTCTCTGTAATACGTGGTCTGAGAGCATAGCTGGAATGAAAGGCTAGCCCTCTTGGATGAAAGGTCATGAATATTGAACGCAGTGAAGCTCCCATGGAAATTCTGGTAATACGTATCAAAACCCAATAAAATCAATCCATTATAGTAGTCTCCAACCAAGCGATTGTTCCACGAGAACAATCCGCATTTCCAAACTCTCGCCCAGCCACCGGCTCGAGCTCAACATTCTGTTTCCGCGGATTAGGGATAGGAAGATAACTCACAACCACCCACGAAACCGAACTGTGCATTAAGTCAGAGGGAAGGGCATGAGAGCAATCCGGCCAACACCAAAAATGAGTTGCCTCATTGAATATACAGAAATCATTCTACGAAGTCATCAACACCCTCATCGAGTTATGCTCAGAATTCCCGAAACAAATCTTCTTCTTGAACCCGTCGTTCAGGGTTAACCGGCCTAGTCTATGCGACTATTGCTCAATATACCTGGGTAGAATGCGCCGCTGGTCAAGAGAAATTCATTATCCACAATCTCTCCCCAAGGACATCAGGCACATGCTTGGGACAATGAATCAGGGACGGAGATCCAATATTCCAGCACCTTTAGTCGAGTTGAAAGCTCTCACAATTGGCATAAATCGGTGGAATGAAGTCTGTACCCTGCAATAGGTATTTGCGTGTCCCCGCTACCATATATCAAAGCTGAAAGCTGAAAGCAGAAGAGATACTCGATTTTATTTATTTATCTCAGAGCCGCGTGCCACTAGTGCGTGAGCTACACGCCCATTCCAGGGAAAATATCCATAATTGAATATTGGAGGATAGGTTGGAACAAATCATTCCATTTAATTTCATTAATATTTCATTAAACAACCCAATCCATCCGGCCGACTCCGTATCCCCAAATCGCCATCTCCCCATTCCTTTCCAACTATTTTTCACCCAACACCATCTAATCTAATGTCCTCCTGTAGTAGGTAAGCCCAATGCTACCTTGAAACTATCATAAATCAACCATTGGAATGCTGTTAGTGTTCCAATCATTACAATTCTAACAGGTAGACCATTCCAAAGACCTCCAAATCCAATGTTTCCATAAATCCTCGTCATAGCCTTTCCAGCTCCTTCACCAGCTTTTCTATCACTGTTAAGTTTCGACACCATAACATCTGCTGGATGAGAGATGACAGCACAACCAATACCAGCAATATAACCACCGAGGAAAGAAACTCCGGTTTGTTGGAGACCGGAATAAGAGGATTTAGGCTTCCCCAAATAAGCGTAGATTTTGTTAACGGTGGTTTCAAAGGTTGCGAATTTCACCATTGTGTAAGGGATTTGTCGACCCCAGAGAGGATAGAGTCCTTTGTAGAGTCTATTTTAGGAGCATTTAGCAAAAGATTCCGAATCCCAAGAGATCTCTCGAAAGTAGAGAACAAACTTACCCTCCATAACCCTCCTCTTTAATAACCTTTGACATTCCCTCTCTCAAACTGTTTGCAAAAGGCGGCAAAGTAGTTTGCATCCTGACCTTGATAGCTTCAAAAGGACAAAGTGCCATGTCGGCCAAAAATTCCGCACTAGCACTGGCACCCAAGAAGATGGCGGTTTGATTCGCATTTGGGAATAATTTCTCGCCATATAAATATTTGAATACTTCATAGAAGCCGTATTTTCCACCACCTTGAAAACAATATCCCACGAATGTAGGAGACCATCCGAAGAAGACTCCGCGAAGACCTTCGGCACGGTAAATTTTGGACCAGGCGTTAAGGTTGGAGGTGTAGAGTTTGGAGTCGACTTGACGACGACATTTTACAAGATCAAGTGGAGTGACGGCGGTATGGGTTGGGCCACAGGCTGAGAGGAAGAGGTTGTTAGTTACGGAAGATCCGAAAGAGGAATTGAGAGTGTGCAATGGTTAATGGAGGGGTGAATAAGAGGGGTCATACCAATTATACCACCAAGTCCACAAGCTGCGAAGTATTTTCCACTGTATAGCTCGATCTTAGGTTGCGGAAGAGCTTTTTCGAGAGAAGGCATTTTGAGAGAGATCAACTGGTTGATTTGGGGAGAACTGGTTGAGGGTTGGGGATGTTTGTGTAGGTAGGTATTGGATGGAAATCCTTATCGCAGCTGCTCTTGAAGTCGTGGATTGTCAAGAACTTCACAATGGTAAGAAGTCTGTGTATTAATGATGTATAGAAGACAGGATGAGAGCAAGAGTAAAACAAAGTATTAAACACAAATTCTTCTCGACAGAAACTTGGAAAAGACACAATAAATGAGTGGTTCTTGGTTCTTGGTTCTTGAAAGTTCCAAAATTTGGTAGTAGACGTCAAATGGGTGGTGCCGATGTTTCTTGATAAGCTTCCGTCTCCTGTGTTGGTTTGGGCTGTTCCCGAAGTTCTACGAAGTACTTTGTAGTTCAATCTACAGGGGTAAGGTTAGCTATTCTATCAATGATCGGTTGTTAACCTTACGTCATTTCAGGATAGAGCGGATGTCGGAGTTTAATTCGCCTTTTGCATTGGATTATGATGCACATACGAATAGGGAACGTCGGAACCTTGGGACGGGAGGACGATGGATGGTAGATATTTGAAACGGCGGAATGTATATCAAGTGTATAAGTTATGTATAGAAGAATTGAGGTTTCGACTTTTACTATTGATGATCAGGAATGGTAGTGATGGAAGATGGCGGGGGGGGATGATCTACGGTCACGTGTAGGATGTTTCCGACTTGGCCGGTCCGAGCTTGTACTTTATTTTGGGAGGGTTTCTAAGCTTCCCTTCCCTTCACTTCACTTCACCTCACTTCCCTTCACTTCACCTCACTTGCTTTCTCTGCAGAGGTTGCTAGTTTACCCACCGCAACATCTGAGAACAAGGCTTGCCCTCTTCATGTTCATGAAAGCGGCTTCCTGGATCGGACACTGGCTTTTCAAAACGTGTTTCCTTAGGATGGGCTCTGATCATCTTGAAAACCTCGTGTCTTACGTCGTCATGTTGTGTGAGAAACAAGTCAATATTCTCGATCGGCCAGCCCTCCAGTTCACTTGCCCTACTTGATCCGCAGAGAAGATAGCATAGGAGAGAGACAACAAGTCGAAACATCCCATAGCTCTTGCGAGGCGAGTAGTGATAGAGACTTTCCATACAGTCTGGTTTGTTCTTACGAAGGCTCGGTATCCAATTTGTCTTCTTCATGTTGGATGTAAGCGCATCTGATATTGGGTCCATCAAGTCATGATGACAGAACTTGTCTGCTAACAGATATAGTTCTCCAGTGCACCATTTTCCGTTATCGTTTCTGCCATGTTTCAGCGGTAGCAGCTGGTCTGAGTAAATCCACTATATTGAACAAGCCATCAGTACGCAATACGGGGACGATCATACAGACAGAATAATATTTCTGCTTCATATAATAGAACTTCATTTCAAGGTAGGAGGAGATATAACCATCTGTACGCAAATGCATACTTTGGAAAGGTAGAGGGCCAGGCTTATTTAAATCACAGCTCAGAAAACAATACTTGCGGAGACAATTGTGTTGAAAGCATCGGGGTCATCTTCAGGTAAAGTTGCGGAGTTAGTAGCACCCTCCGTAAACTTTCTATTGAACATCTTTTTGAAGTATGGAACTTTTATTGGATGATCAATTTGTGGAGCTTGAAATGACCTGAACCTTCGTCCTTTCCGACGTGGATATTAACCATTTCCGAATCCATGAAACTCGAGAATAGTCAGTCCTCGGTGCAATCTAATCTTGGGGATACTTTGACTTACTGTTGAATCTCGACAGATTTCTCAAATGATTTATTGGCATTGTGTGCACCCATCTCTGCGCCTTTTACCTCCCCGGTCACTACGACAGTGTTCGGATCTTCATTCTCTGAGCCTTCCATCTCTGTTTCCGGCGTTTTCTTCTCCGGTGTTTTCCTTTCTGGCGTTTTTTTTCTCTCCAAAACCTTAGAAGCCAAAGTTTTGTCATTTTGCTTTGATGTGTTTTGAAAGAGCGAGGGCCGTAGCGGCAAGCCCACTTGAACTTAGCGAATAATACTGCCATATAGGTATTTAGCGTCTGCCACCTGGCGCCACCAAAGTGAATACTGCTAATCACAACTTCCCAACCCAGAAATATTCGATCCAGTCTTTTGGACCAAGTAATTCGTGCCCAGAATTGATTGAATACATCGTTGTCGTCAGTCGAGCGATTGATAGTAGCAGAGTGAATCGCCCCTTGAACATTTGTAATGAATGTTTGAAACTACGTAGGCTACAAGGTCTTAAGAGGGTGATCTAGGGTCAACTACCAAGAAAATTTTCAGAGCAGTCGCCTTGTGTCCCATCCTGATTATGGAAAATACCTATGTTGTGAACCAGGTACTGAAAGACTGAATTAATTGTCAACCAGTAAGATCGGAGCCCCAAGCCTAGTACACAATTCCTTCTTAACTGACGTTACGGCATCACTGGTGCCATATCTCACAGCACGGAGAAACAAATTGATGGTTTCTGTTATCAGGAGCAACGTACGGGTTACTTTGCATCACACGCGGCTCGTGTTTATAATTTCTCGCGAAACTCATAAATAGCGTCTTCGAATCTATCTTTAGTAGAAATATCAAGAAGAACAAGATGTCGACTGTCACAAGTTCTATCACCCCACCAAGCACAACAATTTGAGTTCTCTGTTAGTTGTTCTGCTAGTAACAAATACTCAATTCAATTCTGGAATCTGCCATTACGACCCAACCGTCTTTTCACCAATCGAACGCTCTGGTCAGGTCAAGTAGCTTACGACACGTATGTATCGAACTCCGATTTTATTTACCGTCATAGAGTTCGTACCAACTTATCTTTAAAAAGAATTGGCAACCAAACAATTCTTAACGAAAACAATTTCGCATCAGACATAACGAAACTCTTTAACTACGACTAAGCTTGAAGGGAAAACGAACCAACATGTCGGCTAATTCCACAATTCCGATCGAGGTAGATCGGTTAAGCACATACGCACACTCATCTTCATCTTCAGAAAAAAATGATGATGCAAAAAATCCTCCCTCAACTACAGAGGATGGGATTGCCCTCGCAAAGGCTAAAATGGACCGGGATGTAGCAGAGCAGAAGAGAACAGAAGCTGTATCCTTGAGGAGATCTCGAGGAGATCATCCTGAATTTCTTGAGTAAGCTAATATATGTTTTGTCACTTGAATCATACCTTACTAATTGCGTGTTAGGATTATGGGATTAGAAATTGTCGATATTCATGTGGGACCACAGAAAAAGCTCTTTCGAGTCCATCGAGGTATACTTTGCGATAAAGTGCCATATTTCCAAAAGATGTTTTCGAGTGGCTTTGTCGAGGGGCTCAAGGGTAAAGCATTCTTTCCAGAAGATGATCCAAAATGTTTTGATTTTTTCATGGGTTGGATATATTTTGGTACTCTGCGAGTTATTAATGCTTCTACCGCATTAGAAAAGGTTGAGTATGACTTGAACCTACTATCATTGTATACTTTCGCAGATAAACTATGCCTACCTGAGCTCATGGATCTTGTTCTCAATACATACAAAAACACCTATGAGAAATATAACAGATTCCCCAGGGTAAGTTTGGTCAGCGATGTATACCAAGTGACACCAAAAGACTCTCCTCTTCGAAACTTTATGTGTCACTGCATGTATTTTATTTTTGTTGAATACACTTCTGAAGATATTCGCAATTTTTGGATAACTGAGGACATGGCAACGGCATGAGCATCCACAAGGATTTAACCATCGACTTTCTTAATCTGATGAGATCAGATGCGCCAGGTTTTGCTCCTCAAGATCCAAGAGCCCTCCCAAACTGCGATTTTCACTGCCATAGAGAGGATGAGCCTTGCTCTCAAAGATCAAATTAAAAGATTACGATTACAAAAGTCTTGTGGGGTTAGCTGTGTACCAATTCTGCAATTCACTACTGATGAGTGTTTTGACTCTGCGCGGACATCTTGAGTACTACAAAGCTAGTTGAGGATACTATCCAGATAGGTATCTGTTGAAGAGGGAAACACTTTTATTCATGATCGATTCAGTCTTTTATTTGGATCTGAAATCATAGACATCTATTGTCCAACAGTTCAAAGCTTCAAGCTATCTCACAGGGCCGGGGGATGCAGTCCCATACAAGATTACCTGAATGGTATCTATTTTATGCTAGTCGGACACATAGAAGCTATCACGTATGAGGTATAGGGAAAAGACTATGAATGGCGATTAAGAATTGAACCTTGGCGGGCATGGGCTTATTTTCTCACCAGGGATAATATGCAAACGGGATTTTCTCGAACATATCACTTTTTCAATCACAATCATTTGTGTGCGGCGACCTTTATGAATAATGATTTCATTCCCTTATGTTGATAATTTCATGTTGATTATGAAGATTGTCACCTTTAGTCCTTCCATTCTATGCATCGTAATCGAATAACTGATTGGTTTCATCAAGTGATGAAGAGAGCCAAGCATTTAGCGAGGATTGAAATTTAGGGGAGTGAATAAGTGGAGCATTGAAAATGACAACATTCATAATTGTAGCTCAATCATTACATTCTAGAAATCTTAATCATCTGCTTCGACAGCTTAATGCTGAATGGCATTTTACAAAATGTTGGACTTACATAATTGACCGTCTGCTATAGATAAGTGTCTGCCAATAGCTATTCTAACCAAATCCAATCCCCAGCAACAACTATCAATATTCTCCACCCAAACTCCCAAAACTCCCATTTTATTATTATTAGAAAAACATGTCTACAGAATCTCCACCCCCGGAATCTCCACCCACAGACCCCCTACCCTCAGAATTCCTCTACGGATTCAAATACTGTCCCCACAAAATAGCCCACGGTAACACCTGCGGTATCTACCACTCAGGTCTCGGCTCCGGCAATCGAAGCACGTGCGCGTGTCCACCGGGTCTGGTAAAACTTAATAGAGAAGTGAGGGATCTGTTTCCAAAACATCTTTGTCCGGAGTGTGAGAGGGAGTATTTTCGACTTCATCCGGGGATTCTTGCGAGGATGACGCCGAGGTGGATTTTGGAGAGGGAGGGGAGGGGGAAGGGGAAGGGGAAAGTGAGGGGAGGGGGGTATGAGAGGATTTGAGAATTTGAGGATCGGGGATTTGGGGGTTTGAGGAGAGGATGGTGATGGTGGGGGTACGGGATTGTGGTGTGGGATGGGAGAGTTGGGATGAGAGTAAATCGTATTGCTGAAGTTTGGGAGAATAATCTATGTGTGTGTTTGATAATCATACATGCTGCTTGAGTTGCAAATTTTAATGCGCGAGTGTGTTTGAATAACATTCACTTGATTCAATTCTCATTAAAGTAATATAATGTCTGCGCGTTATCAAGCCTGTCAAAAAATTCTTCTCAGAAGTGAATATCCCCTCTTCTGCCCACCCACAAAGACCCCCAAAACCTCAATCCCCTTCCAATCCAATTTTTTTTCTCCCAATATCTTCAACTCCAAATCATCAAAAACTACCATCAGAAAACTATCAAAAAACATAATCTGACTTTATGGAAGAACGAATCACAACTGCCGATGAAAGGCCAAACCCAAGGATCCATTTAGAACCTGGAATGCAGAATGCGCAAAGGAAAAGAGGCCAGCACGGCCAAGAGCTCCAGATTTGTTTTGTGAAGATGGTGCGGTTTGGGTATTTATTTGTTTGGAAGGTTTGGATGGGGGATGTGATTGGGGGGAGGGGGTGGTAGGATACTTGGTGAGTAAATTTCTGTTTCGGATTACTATGTGGATGGTTTTCATAGTGTATTGCTGTGCGCGTTGGGGCCTTTTGTTCCTTTGGTTTTCATATGAAGCCATTACTGATACAGTGGTGCGGAATGAAATTCGAAAAGACGTGTTCATCAGCATCTACACATGATTATTCGGCATCAGTGGAGAATGAATCATGATTACTGGAAGGCTCACATCACTTTGCAAATCACAATGTCAAAAGTAGAACGGATCTTTGAGAAGTTCCGCGATAATTCTACCTGCCTCGTTGGGCTACGCGATTGCAAGAAGATATATGGCTTTGGGAATGATGGTTCATGTGGTGGTCTCGGAGACAGGACGGTGAGGATCAATGTGTGTTTGTGAGCTACGCAGAGCAAGGAAAGATCATGTGTGGATTTTTGGTGAGGGTAAGGATGCATTTGGGCTTTTGAGATCTTTCAATGAGAAGGAAGAAACAAAAGAAAATGTCGAGGCAGGTAAGGTGGCGCACGAGAGAGGAAATCGCCTGGTACTAACAATTTAATCCATCTCCTCAGTTCGATATGGATGATGATCGATCCAGTCACGAGACTCATGCATTGATTAACAATTCGGAAATTGGTATTATTATGATCGAGTCATTTCTGCGAAGACAAGAAGAAGCTCTGATTACTCAAATTACAATTCTTCCCTATCTGCTTTTCTCTATTCCTACCTTCTCAAAGAATACCACACTCACCAACTCCCCATCTCAATAATCGCACAGAACATCCCCTACAAACCCCAGAAATGTGTACACGCTACGGTTTCAAATGCAACAACTGCCAAAATAAAAGACTCGCCGATGCAAAAGAGATAAAACCATGCACAAAAGCCACTGGTCATCGACTTACACCTCTCCTTGTTCCGAAGGATTGTGCGAATAAAATCCCCACAGTAGCGACTAATATTGTATCGGAACCTATTCACGGCTGGTGTACAAAATGCTACGAGAGTACTAAGGAAGCGAGTAAGAATGAGAAGGTTAACGGATATTCTCCTGCTTTGTGGGGATAGATTTGAGACTTAGGAGTGGAGGTGTTGGATAAGTTTGGGTGATTATGGTATGTATGTTATGGTTATTGATTTAGTTCTGATTAGTATCGAAGACAGTCTCACGGACTCGAATCGCACATTTTCGCAAATGTTAACTCTGTAACTGTTTTGCTGGATGTCCTTAACCCTCTCAGTTTCGTCTACCTACGTTCAGTGATCAACTCCTAAGTCTCGTCCACCATCTCGATATTCCGTCTCAACACCGCCAAGTCTTCCAGAATAAGTCAACTACCCCACTTTCCGACCACCCCCTGTTTCCGACCACCTAAAAAATTCATATTATCTACACTTAAAACTTTAATAACTCAATAACTATTGAACTTCAATGAAATCGCCTGTAGAATCACTTTCTATAGCACTAGAGCTATCATCTACCTCATCTTCACGATCTCCAGCTTCAATTTGTGTACGCCTTATAGCTCTAATCCCTGCGAACTTCGAATTTGGAGATACCACAACCTTTCGCCTTTTTCTAGGTAATGCTTCATCTAATTGATATTCTAGCTTTCTAATCTTATTCTCTGCCTCTAAGAGTTCATAATCCTTAGCATCGAATCCTTTTATAATCTTGCGAAATAGTAATCTTCGTGTTGGCAAATCGATCTCCTTCTCTTGAATCATTATATCTCTATATTTTCTGATATCGGCTCCTTTTTGAGGGGTTTTCCATTGAATAAACGATGAATATATATTCCATTGAAGAATAGGATCATCATCAGATTCAGGATTAAGTGATAAAACCTCTCTATTGCTATTTTCAAGCAAAAGTCGACTCATAAGAGGTTTAGCCATATTTTTGGGCCAAAGACCACTAGCTTGCCACCCAGACTTGATATTTTGAATAGTTAAACCTTCTATTCTAGCCTTCTGATAGCAAGAAAGGAAATTGCGCTTTCCAATTGGTGAGGAATCGGATAATAGACTTAATTTATTAAGTTCGATTCGATATGCACTTTTTAGGGGTGAGAACACAGATAAATCGAGTGGTTGTAGTACGTGTGACGTATGTGGTGGGAGAAATAAGAGATATATGTTGTTATTAAAGCATTCTAACATAAATGCTGTAGTTTCATGGCTTCCGTGTCCGTCCAAAATGAGGAGTCTTGAATTTTCCGGCTGAATAGGGGTAGTTTGAGGGATATAGATCTTTTTCAGCCATTCTAAAGCTGTAGCATCTGTAGTCCATCCATTTTCTGTAGCGGTAAAGTTCCAATCCTTGAATAGAGTCAAATCTGTTGGAAACCATTGTTGTTGAACTGATTTTCCCTTATATATTACAAGGGGAGTAATGCTTTTTCCATTGGCTGAAATGCATTCTATAAAAGAGGTCCAAATTCGAGATCCAGGTTGCTTTTTTTGAATAAATCTTCGATCAGTGCTTCCTACTACTAGTCCATTAAGACCCTGACCCTCCATTATACCTGCTTCATCCATATTCCATCTGTTGGCCGGCTTAATAGCCTTGATTTCAGGGATTGCGAGGTTCCGGAACCACTTCTTAATAATATCAGATGTAGCACCTGAAACTCGTGCAGAATCGATTTGATGTTGCTTCTTAGTTCCAATATTAGGATGCCTTCGAAAAAAGCTATGTATCCATTTCTTTCCAAGTGAGGGATCCTCCCCTCGTACAATAAGGAGGTGCTCTGCCATCTCTCTGATTTGACGATGTGTAGGGCTAGTACCAAGAGCTTCCTGTACTAATATCCATTCTGCTAGTCGATTCTCCTGAATTGGAGATAACTTTTGAAGTATTTGGGCGCCTTTTTGATGCGAAACTCCACCATATATTCGATCGTGAAGTGTGGTACGTGGAACACCATAATCCAAGCTAGCTCTTCGTATGCTTGCTCCATTTGTAATCGCTCTAAGAGCCTCTGCGATATCTTCTTCGGTATATCTATTCTTCATATCACAATTATAATAATATCAAAATTTCAAATCAATTGATTAAAGCGTTGTTGAGTTATTCAAAGTATAAATTTTATAATTACTCAAAGCGGTGTGGTTTTTGAGGTGGTCGAAAAGAGGGGGTGGTCGGAAAGTGGGGTAGTTGACTTGTGCGCTACAGTTTTTCTCCGTCAACTTCTCTTTTCTTTCTCTATTTAGTTTTGGTAATGAAAGTTCATATCTCAGCTGGACTGAGACTTGATATGTTGGGGGAAAGGATGCCCATAGCATTTGTCAAATAAAACACCCCTTCTCAGCTGGATTGAGCTAAAGTATGGCGTTTTAAACTCGAGGGCCGAGCAGGAAGGAGTTAATTTAACTGTTTCTTTCTTTCATTACAGTCGAAATTTTATGTGTATTCAATGATAGCTTATTCTTAGAAAACATCTGTCAGGCATGAACTACATGATGACTAGATAGCAAAATGCGAAATTGTTTAAAAATTACTCATACAGCTGTGCAAGCTTGTGAATGTTTGTTTGAATATGTTGTAGAAACTGATTCGTTCTAGCTGGGTTGTTTTACTTTGACCTCGATCACCATCCAGCTACTTCTGCTTCCTCGATATCCCATGAGTGGTTTCGCAGTTAAAATTATGAGTGTAGATTGCGTTAAAGTTATATCATGCTAACGAAAAGCTTCCCTCGATCACTGAGCCGAATTCGCAAAGTGACAAATTCGTAAGGTGACAACTCATGAGAGGATTTTCCAAGCTGTTGCAAAGATTCTAAATTTACAATCAAGGTCGCTTTTCTTAGAGGGGGTGGAATTGAAGAAGATTACAAGAGGCTTTCGAAATTGGGTTTCAAGGGACGTCGTTATTTACGATGTACTTGTGGTCGGATAGATAGATGATAAGGGGTGGGAACAGAGCAGAACTGCTTCATGAAGTCATCGAGTTGCCAAACTATACTCTCGAACACTGTCATCAGCTCAGATCAGATACTTTAAATAGAAAGACTGCCGTCCTTTAACATGAAATCGATGACTATGACTGTAACTTTACCGCAATTTTACAGTAATAAATAACATATTGCATATCACGAAGTTATGACTAGCTAACTAACGTATTTGATTTTGAGGAATAATTGAATCATAGTCTGGCAATGTATTAAGAGAACCATTCATCATTATATTCTTCCCCTTTGTAACAAGACGCACTGAAATATTACCTTCAATAGAATATGAACAACCCACAAACGTTCAATATCATCAACCCTAATCGTGGTTCACATCAAGTTTATTATGAGAGTGTAGACTCGCGTTCAATTTGGCGAAGGTGTCTACAATATCGTCCCCGTGTTAAGGATTTGAAAGTCTTAAATCCACATCGTGATAAAACACGTCAAATGCCCTGGTTTCTACGAAAGCTGCGTTGTCGTAGCCCTGGTGGTGTTCGTAGCAAACAGGCTTCATTATTTAGGTATGTAAAGATCAAACCACAAACGTCCCCAAATCAATTGCCGCAGAATGTTAGCTCTGAGGACAAGGGGCAAACTGACCATTACAATTAGTGACACCAGGAAGACTTCTCAAGGTCCTTCCGCATCCGTGAAGGCCGCGCGGACATAAGCGTCGAAGATCAACTCCTCGCACCGAACCAACTCTTACCTATACAGCACCCTGCTAAGATTCTCGACCCAGCTCCACAAAAGGCATGTGTCGAGACTTCGAAACTTGAGACAATAGTTGGCGAACCTGCAACAGGAAGAGTCCTGTCTCCGGTATATAATGCGAACTATGGTCCATATGAAACATATACACCATCAAACTCAAATCACGAAATTGGTATGGCTTTAACCACACCACAAACAATATTGAACTATTCAAGCTCCCAAGAGGATACTCGAAACAATAACGTCCAAAAGAGAAGCGACAGAGACACCTGTGGTGATGCCAGATCCAATGGTACGTCCTCTTGGGGCATTTTGCAGATTGAAGAGGTAGCAAAAGGCACCGAACTTGTAGACATATCTACTTTGGTGCCAGCATATCTTCAAGCGAAAAGGAGACTTGTTGCCAATAAGATTCCTGCAGATGAAGTTGAGCATCAACCTTTGCCACTGTCAGCTTCAACAAAGAACCTGGTTCAATTATTGGAGATTGAGGCTTCTCGACAGGAGCAGGAGCAGGAGAAGGAAGAAATGGAAAAGATAAATCATCACAATGGAAGTTTACGAGAACCTAGAAAACCGAGGGATTCCAGAAGACGTGGGCAAGTTTGGAATAGTGAGGAAACGAGGAAGAGTTTCCTTGCGATAGAAGCTCTTGATGCAGTTGCTTTCGGATGAAGACTCACTTAAGTCATTCTATATCGTATAAGTAACTTAACGATTTGTATATTGAATTGACAGAAAACATGATGATTGCCTCGAAATATCATTATTTCTATGCTGATAACATGAAATTGTTGATTCATCATATTTAATTCCTTGGAGGTGTGTTCGATCTCGTGATCAATTGCAATGATTTTAATGAGACAACAAAGACATCACTGGAAGTGTTGTATCCAATCCCTCGACAGTATGTTCTTGGTTGGTAATATTCGAAAATTGAGAGAATCATTGATACCCGTGGACGGCGACGACGTAAGTCATTCTTCATTGCTGGCCAAGTGAAACATAAAATCAAATCTGTCCTCAGCCACTTTTACAAGAATCTAGACTTTATTAGGCAAGCTTCGGGCACATTACAGCCTAGGGCCGCCGCTTCTAATCGCGACGATTGTCTTCTTTCCGCTCTTTCAAATTTATTTCTCGGGATCTGTCATGTTTTTAAAGAGTGCAATATAAAGTTTAGAAAGAGACCAACAACTCTTTTATCTACTCATTATTAATATCTCTCCAAAGTATCATTTGGTCGCATTCAATTACGATCTCCTAATCAATCGCCATCATTTCATACCGATTCCTATTTCTAAACAAGGCAAAATGGCTATCAGTCCTCAAGTGTATGAACAATTTTCCCGAAACTCCATCTTGTTGTTTTCTCTCGAGATAGTTACTGATGATTCAAATAGAACTAACTTGATCATCATCCTCGGGATGATGCAAGTCTCGAAACGTGTTCCTCTTGAGGATCCCAACGTTTTGAATCTTGTCCGTGGGATTTACATTCTATCAAACGTCATCATCGCCGGCGTTTACGCTTACACTCAATATTTGATCAACAAGAAGAAGGGTATGTAGCCTAACTCATGGGCATAGCTATTCTGGATACTAACATGCCATTGGTATAGATATGACTACCCTCAAATACGTCGAGCAACCTCAAATGGGTTCCGCCGAAGAACCCAAGCTCGTCACCACCACTGTCCACAAATACGATAGCGATCAAATGAAGGCTCTCTACAAGGCACAATTGATGGGTGTTGGAATGATGGCTGTCATGCACTTGTACTTCAAATACACCAACCCTCTCATGATCCAATCTATTATCCCACTCAAGGGCGCATTCGAGGGCAACATGGTTAAGATTCATCTTTTCGGACAGCCAGCTACTGGAGACATGAAGAGACCATTCAAGGCACCAGCTGGTTTGATGAGCAGTCTTCAAGGAGGAGGAGCTTCCCCTGCACAAGATAAGAAGTCGATTGAAGCTGCTGAGAAGGCAGGTCGTGGAGGTGTTAAGGACGAATAGATGTTCAAACATCAGACATACACGATGTAATGTTTTCAAAGACTGGGGGGTCAGGGACTGGGGATTGGACTTCAAGTCTAGGGTATGGGGCGGTACAACTGGGGGATGGATCGGACAAGAGATTTTTATCTCGTTTGTATCATAGAGACAAGTAGATGGAAACTACCTTTCAATGCCATCAATACTTTCTATATCATACTCTACTAATACATTATGCATCATTGTCCATCGAGTTCCCGATTTTTTTTTTTTGGTGGCTCATTACATCCATCCACCTTGTGGTCTATCTAAAAGTATGAATGACGAATCTTTAGCGCACCCCGAGAACGCCGAGGCTGAACATTTTAAACTTGTCGCCACTTCTAGGATTCAGCCTTGCTACAAATTTACTTTATTAGATACATGGAACTTCAGGAATTTCATTATTGCCATATTTTATACAGTTTGACATCATGGAAAGATCAAATACTCCCCCGCCTACCAGAAGGACTAGATCTCAAGTTACATCACCGCCAACACCGGATGTTAAAAGAAGAATAGTCAGTACAAGGCAACCATTCATATCATTTGACCCCTCATTTACTAAGCTGTTCTATTAGGAAGAAAACAGACTCAAGGCTAAAGCACTCCGCGAACAATCTATAGCTCGTGAGAAAGCGTCTTCCTCAAATGATACCAATCGTACACCCTCGGGTTTTATTGCTACTCCCGATATAACTCTCGCGGGTCAAAAACGCACTCACTCGTCTATTTCAACCTCATCAATTCCCGCCACTTCTCGCGATGCGCGACAACCTACCAACGAGGTGCGAGCCGATGATTCCTCAATGCAAGCTGAGCGGAAGTTTCGGAAATACGTTGATCATGATTTCAGTAAGATGACGGATACGAAAGGTGGATTTTTAGCTGAAGAAGATGATCCATGGAATAAGGCATTACATGCATCGAAAGAGGGAGAGAAACCTGCGCATATGACACTGAAGGAATGGGAAAGACATCAGCTATTGAAAGGGTTGCGGAATAGGAAAGAGGGACCTTTCGAACCTGGTTTGAGTGTACTTGGAGGGGATAATAAGAAGTGCCGGGAATGCAAGAGCCTAGAGATTGATTTCGTGTGGGATGAAGTTTTTAAGTGTAGGGTTTGTAATGGGTGTAAGGAGAAGTTTCCGGAGAAATATAGTTTGTTAACTAAAACGGAGGCAAAGGAGGATTATCTCATTACAGATCGTAAGTTACATAGCTTCTTTGTGACAATGGGTTTGGACTAACATTCTCTGTAGCGGAATTGAAAGATGGAGAACTACTGCCACATCTCAATAAGCCCAATCCGCATAAATCACATTGGCATGATATGATGTTGTTCCTACGATACCAAGTAGAAGAATATGCATTTAAGACGAAGTGGGGGAGTGCAGAAGCATTAGATGCAGAATTCGAAAAGAGAGAAACAGAAAAGAAAAAGAGGAAAGAAGAAAAGTTCAAGAGTAAACTGAAAGAATTAAAGAAAAAGACGAGAACTGAGGCATACAGGAGAGGTCTAGCGGGTGATGGAAAAGGTGGAAAGTTTGGAGATGCGATTAGTAATGGGAAACATGAACATGAATGGGGTCAAACGGTGGAGAATGAAGATGGAATGAGTGTGAAGAGTTGTATAGAATGCGGGATGGAGGTTGAGGAATTGGAATTTTAAGGCAGGAATTGGTATGGATATGGTATGGATATGGGTACGAGTACAGGTGCAGGTATGGCATCGATGTATTGGGTTACATCTTCATGAGTCTTGAGAGCGATATGGAAAGGATTTGGAGTTTGCAATTCATATCTATGATAATCATGATCAAGACGGGAAAGGCGTGCTGGAGTTTGTTAATCTTTCGAGGCATGCAAATGTGCATGAAGGATATCTACGAATCTTTCATCAATCACCATACTTCAACACTTGCTTTTTAGGTGACAGGGATGCACATACACATTCCTTTTTCCCTCTTATGCAAGCCTCCAACCCCCCCCCCCCAGCTCGCTGCACTCGTGTTAGAACACCGATCTCAAAGTTATCCTTATGAAACGCGGTCATTAGGGCTGACACAACACCAATAGCGGGCATCAGAATGTTTTGTCGTGTTGCTACAAATTGAAGTATCATATTGTGGTGGTTTTTCAAATGGTGACTCGATATATCTCTCAGTGTGAGCAATTAAATACAGTGACAACTTATCTATGAGTCTTTTGTAGCCATTTGTCAACAGATCAACACGAAGGCAAAGATAATGTCCATCCCAATCTTAAGGTTCGAGGGGTCTTGTCCAGATTGTATCTATCCGCAGACCCCCCAAAAACTCAAATACCACAGGAGCTATGACCACTTTCAGTTAAAGGCGGCGTCACCCACACCTCCAAGACAACAATACCCCAGGCAAAGCGTTTATGATGGCCTTAAAAGCGGCCTGACACATGGATATCGCTTTAGAATTGGATAGTTGGCATGGTTGGTAGCTCACGATCTCTATTTGGAAAGAAACGCCCTCCTTCAGTCTTCCTTCTTACGATTTTCAATGTCATACGTTTCACTTACGCGACAAATTTGTACAGACGCATCATAAAACTTTTGCAGATTTACAAATCTCATACTGTTGTCTTCTATTGTACTTTAATTATCTCAAACAGTTCTGTGCGCAAAGATGTTCAATTGAGCATTGGTAGTTTACTGGAGAAAAATTAAGGCCTCGTTATCTTTGGCGACCACTCAACATATCTTGCGCCTACCCAGAGTAACAAATGCTCATCGTGCCCTCGAATTTGGATGCGAAATTAGCGCACAAGGCGGATTCTAGGTTATAAAAGAGGGACTGGCCTGGGCCTGGGGAACGAGATGGCCTGGCAGTCTCTATCTGGTATGGGGGGTAGTGGAGGTCAAAATAATGGAGGTGGTAATGTAGGTGACGGAGGGAATCAAGCGAATCAACCTCAAGGAACAGAATATACACTGCAAGGTATGCGCTCAGTCGTTTTGTTCTTGTGGCTAAACTAATTCGCAGTTAGGTGTTATGCGATTCTTACAAACTGAGTGGCATCGACATGAGAGGGAACGAAATGCTTGGGAGATCGAAAGACAAGAAATGAAAAGTAGGATAGCCAAATTAGAGGGCAATACTAAAAAACTTGAAGGGTCAAATGAGAGTTTGAAGAAATTCCTTACAATGTTGGAGAGAGTGGCCAAGGACCGAGAGGCACAATTGAAAGCGATCAAATCTGGTGGTACAGCGCCGGTGCCAGCAAATAAAGAGACCAAGGATAAAGGTTCGCGTCGTAAGTCAATTGAATAACTTGGGATTATTGAAAACTAATAGATGTAGCAACTAAAAGAGAGGCACATAACTCATTCCTCGTGGTTGACGGGGAACCCGATGCGAAAAAGGCTGTTCAAGCGGAGAAAGGTAATATGAAAGATTTTATGGACAAATCTCAAGGAGAGCTCACTTATCTCTTGATCGCACCACCAAATCCCATGCCACCACGAGAAGCCCCACAACCACCGGAGGAGATTCTACCTTTCGGAGTTAGCCAAGCCCAGCAGCAAAACATCGAAGAAATGCAACAGCGATACTCCGGATCAAAAGTCATGAGAGTACCAGAATTATCAAGAGCTCCTCCTGCGCCTTCTCCGACACCTAGCCATAATCCACCGCCAGTCCCAAGTCCCAATAAACATTCTGTACAAAATCCCGATAATCCAGCGCCAAGGTTTTTAGCAGAGCAACTACCTTTACCACAACCTTCTCAACAAGAATGGTCTTCTACATTTAGATCTCCAGAGAAAGCTCAACCGGCAGAGGAGCCCATAACAAAAGTCGACCATTCTTATGACTCCTATGGACGACCTATCGAAAATGAAGAAGCAATAGAGAAGTCAGGTTCTTCTGATACCGATGGATGGGACTTCAATGAGCCAACTCAAACTACAGAACAAGAAAATAAGATTGCGACTCAGAGACCTGATACAGACGTATTTCCATCAGCTCAAGATATACCAAAATCGCCTATTCGTGGTCTAGGCTCACATAGGAGAAAAACCTCCCTGTCAAGAAGAAAAAGTGGCGAACATGAACTTTCATTAAATCCAACACAAAGACCGGATAGTGGTAGTTTCAAAGTTCGATTCGGACTTAGAGGTCACCTAGATGCAGTTCGTTCGGTAATATTTACTGGAGGTGGAAGTCCTGGAGAACCAGAATTATGCACAGCAGGCGACGACGGTACAATTAAAAGATGGATCATTCCCGCCCGCTATGAAGATCAAGGCACATTTCATGTCAGTGCCAATGATTTGGATATTCAAAGTTATTTTACTCATCGTGGTCATGCTGGAGCTGTCATGTGCTTAACTGCTTGGTCTCCATCACAAAACTTTGCCAGTGGAGGACGTGCACAAGGTGACGGATGGATCTTCTCTGGTGGCCAAGACGCTACCGTTAGAGTATGGGAGCGAGGGCGAGTTGATCCTAAGGCAACTCTCGATGGTCATACGGATGCAGTATGGGCAGTCTGTGTACTTCCTGGTACAACTGGGACGATCTTTGGCCAAAGCAATGCTTTTGGTGGACCGGATCGTATTATTTTAGCGAGTGGTGCTGCGGATGGCACTGTAAAAGTGTGGTCTGTAAGCGCTCCTCCACAACTTGTATCGCCTTCAGGTGGAGGCAATCGAAGAGGTGGCAGAGTTCGAGGTAACTCAATGTCATCCGGTTCGGCATTTCCATCATCTCCTCAACCAAGCGTGGCCTCAACTTCGCCTTTCCATTACACATTAATACATTCGATAACAAGACCTAATAGCACCGCATCCCCTACTTGTATAACACCTTTAGCGACTTCGGGCGAATCCTTTGCTGTATCTTATTCTGACGCAACTGTTCTGGTATATGATACAAGAACTGGTGAAGAAGTTGCCTCTATGGCAAGTCTGGAAACATCTAATGGTACCCAATCAACAGGAGTCAATGCAATTGTTGCAACTACTACTGGCCTTGATACTTCCTTGAGTTCTGATTCTAGTCGAGGAATGTCTGAAGATGAGAATGTTGTTAGTGGTGCAACAGGTAGAAGTGGTGGTGTTGAAGGTATTATCATCAGTGGGCATGAGGATCGCTTCATTAGATTTTATGATGCTAATAGCGGTAAGTTACCCCCTAACCTCACCGACAATTCATGACTAATTAATGTAGGTCAATGCACATATAACATGCTTGCTCATCCAGCAGCCATATCCGCTCTATCGCTATCTCCTGATGGACGTGAGCTCGTGTCTGCTGGTCATGATGCTAGTCTACGATTCTGGTCTTTAGAGACACGTAGCTGCACACAAGAGATGACAAGTCATAGACTTATGCGTGGGGAAGGTGTATGCTCTGTCGTATGGAGTCAAGATGGAAGATGGATTGTTAGTGGTGGAGGTGATGGCGTCGTAAAAGTTTTTGCGCGCTAATTTGTGATAATACCCCATGTTCAATATTTTCTCTAATTTCTCCATTTGAGATGAAACGCATTTACATCTTCCACATGGATATATGGAATGAATGAACGGATGGTCGAAAGAAGTGGTGAGGTTGAATGTTATATGCATTACATCTCACATATGAATGTTCTTCGATTTGTTTGGCATTCTTTTTGCATTTTTCACCAATCAACATATCTTCTCACACAGTTAGGGGTTGTTTTTGTGTGGCAGAAGGGCATACTTCAGTCAAATTGTACGTTCATGATCTGAGAGTAGAAAGTAGGGATCGATAAATTTGGAGGGAATATTCCAACCTTAGGTGGAAAATGGCATGTGTTAAGATGAGATGAAAGATGAGATAATGTTTTTGTAGTTTAGATGATACTTTTATTTTTCTTCATTTGGCAGAAAGTGAGTCTGCTGATAACTTTTTTGATTGGCCTTTTAGCATTACTGATGGGAGATGATTTGATGATGGAAAGGAGGAAGAGGAATGGTGGATGTGTAGATTTGATGGGTGAATGCCCGGGTGAGTGTGAGCTGATTCGATAATTTGCGCAACTCGTTCATGGAAGTGGAAGGCATAGAGGTGTTAGGGTTATGTTATGGGAAAGTATAGAGCGAAGGCCAATCTTGTACAAACAATGGAATGAAGATACCTATTTTCTTGGAATCATATAAGAGTTTTGATCGTGTCATGTACGAGCAATCATGTAATGAGATCGAAGTAATGATGGGGAGTGGATTCTCTGATCTAATAATTGGGATCGAATTTGCGCATGGCATCTTGCAAAATTGTGCTCATTAGATATCATTATAGTTTAAGCATTAAAGACGCAACAAACATGGGTATAGATTGCTTTTCACCCGCTCTTCTTCTTAAGCTCAATAATAATCGTCGTCGTCCATCTCAAGATCTTCCCTCCCATCTCCATATAGAATTTCACAAACACCACCTAATGGGACATCCATAACAGCATCCGTACCTCGACTCCAGACTTTCTTCCACGCTCTCACATCAGCCTCTTTCCCTCCTCCAGTATAACCTGTACCCCTTTCCTTCTCCTTCCCTCTCCTCCTATCTTTCTCCCTAGCATTCTCCTCTTGACTAGCATGACTCGCTCCCGCCATTCCCCTCCCATCAACTAAACACACATTCGCAGCCCCATCTATAATCGTCTCCACATTACTCATACCCAGCGTAAGATATCCGGTATTGTAACTCGCGAGCGCAACATAGATATATACGAGGAGCATAACAATCCAGCTCGGTAAGGCAAGAGACCACCAGCGATTAGGATAATAGTAAATTCCTAGAGCGTGGAGGAAGGGAGATGGGAGGTAGGACCAGAGGAGGTAGAGAAGGAAGGTTAGAGAGGAGAAGAGGTAGAGGACAAAACCGTAGTATTCGTAGGTTGGAACCTTTGGGGAGGCCCGTGGGACGGGAGGCTCGAGTTCATCGGCGGAGGAATCGGGGGGTGGTGGGGCGAGAGGGTCGGAGGAGACTGGTTAGGGAGGGGGAGGGGGGGAGTGGTGTAGGAGGTCGGTTGTAGAAGGGGGGTGCGAAGAAATTGTGTTGCAGGGGAGGTGGTGAGGGGGATTCGGAGGATGAGGAGGAGCTCTGTCGAGAATGTGGTCGCGGCGTTAGGGGGTGAGAGGGATTTGGGTGTGTGGGATTTGATTGGTAGTGTGATTGGAAGAGGTAGTCGTCAGGGTCGGGCGGTGGGGGTGAGGAGGATGTTGATGAGGAGGTCATTTTGCTCTGCGATACAAGATGAGATTCTCTCGGTGAGCCTCAATGATCGTGGGCTTAGAGGTCTGCAAGTTTGGAAGTAATTCCGTCGTGATTATATTCAATTGCCGGATAAAACCAGGTGGGTTTGTTTATGAGCTCGATATTATTGGCTCACAGTGGGGGATTCGTGATGGACATCGAAAATCATGCAATCGTCATGCAGTATCACGTTTAACGTGCAGTTAAGAGATCCCATGCGTATCATTGAATGTTGTTGCTGAATATGTTGTGTACATATTTCGAAGACCATAATCTGTCATGCAAGTCGATGATATTGTGTCTACGGCCTTGTAAAGTTAATTTTGACAAGGCTGACATCTCATTTCATTCGTTGGTTACGTAGGCCCTAGGGATTTTAATTCGTTCTAGACCAATCGAGACATAGCCCCTCGCATCTTTCATATTAGGTAAGCGGATTTGTTTCCACCAGTGGGTGCATAGACTCACGGGACAGCTTATATAAGTAAAGCACAATTTCACACCAAGAAAGGTGATTTTGATAATTCAATTAAAATTCGAAATTTCAATGCATTTGTTTGAAATTGAGAAATATGATTTCTAAGTATAAGAATTCTATATAATTCAAAGATTAAATTGAAAAAATACAAATTAGAGCTTTTTTAATCAAATATATAATCTCCTAATAAAATATCTTAATAGGAAGATATAATATCAAAAATTTTGAGCTTAAATTTTGAGCTTTTATTTCTTTTCAATATAAACCATATTTTGACATTTAATAAATCATGAAGTTTTAAAAAATATTTAATAAACAACTATTAAAATTTAATAGAATTTTGAAATTGTTGAATTTTGGTGTGAAATTGTGCTTATTTCTTGAGTGTCCTACGAGTCCAGTCCGTGCAACCACTGGTGTTCGGATTCCAGTGAATTTGTTAGCAACTAAACTCACCATGACATTCACAAGACGTCCTGATATTCACACAATCACCTCGCGCGAATTATATTGCCGGTTCCAAGTGCTCTTGGCAATTTATACAGCTTGCGGAATAGATGAGCAACAGTTCTCCAGATTTTAGAGTTTGATTCTCATATGGTGTACACCGTAAGATCTAAGACAGAGTGTCATCCATGATATGATGGGTCCACTGATCCCACTGATTTTACTGAAAGACGTTTGCTAAATGGTAATCGGCAGTTGAATCTCCGCGAAGATAATCCATATGAAACTGAAACGAAATTCTACCAGTCTTCCACAATTTCCATTGCAACATGGAAATCAGAGATTTCGTACGACTCTCTGAGTATGTACCGTAGTTGGTGAAATTACAGGTGAGGGAAAATGACATGGTAACATGATGGTTGGGAAAGCTGTCTTGTCTTATAAGTTAAGCTCGGCCAAGTTGCTTTGAAGTCTATCATTCATCTGACGGGTTTGCAAGTTATATTCATTCGTTCTGTTCTTTACTTCCCTCAAAAGCAAGCTGCTTCAAACTTTTACTTGTTTAATCTATTTTTTTCCTTGAAAATATCATTACCAACTATCAACATGAAGTACTCAATTGCCATCGCAGCTCTCCTTGCAAGCTCGGCTGTTGCAGCACCAACAACGAAACTCAATGCCAAGCAAAGACTTGCTCAACGAAACAAGAACGCTGCACGTTCTGAATACTATAATGAGAGCTGGTCTGGTGCCGTTCTTACTGGTGCTGTTTATACTGGAGTTTCTGCTTCTTTTTCGATACCCAAGCCACGGGTTGGTACTACAGGAGAGACCTCAGCATCAGACTTCACGGCTTCTACCTGGGTTGGTATTGATGGATATAATTGCAACAACCTCTGGCAAGCAGGTGTTGATGCCACAATTGAGAAATCGACGGGTGAAGTTTCATACTATGCTTGGTATGAATGGTACCCCGCCAATACTCAAGTCATTGAGTTGGGTACTCTCACAGCTGAAGATGTAAGTTTCCTAGTCTTATTGCCCCAATGCAAGAACCAAACTAATAGCTCCAGGTTATCTCCGTAAATATCACCACTAGTGGCCTCAACAGAGGAACCGTTGTTATGGAAAATAAATCCACAGGGAAATCATACACCAAGACCGTTTCCTCGGCGAATACACTGTGTGGTGTTAGTGCTGAATGGATCATGGAGGATTTGAGCGTTGATTCTAGCGCTATCGGTCTTGCAAACTATGGAAGTGTTGTTTTCTCCGATGCAGTTGCTACTACTGCTTCTAAAACGGTCACACCATCTGGCGCGGAAATTTTGGATATTGAGACTAGCTCGAATATTGTCCTAACGAAGTCTAGTGTTACTGATAAGTCGGTTACCATTGCTTATGTTTAGACTAGAGAGACAAGGATGTAGTTTTGTATATATTGGCAGGGGCAGCGTGATTGAGACGCTTAGAATCATTATGTATATAGCTTTTAATATGATTCAGTACATACATGTGAGGGAGCCACCTAGCTAGCGTCCTGTTTAACTGAAGCTTTGTTGTCGGACCCCTATAATTTTTGATGGTTTGATTTTCACCTGATGCTGTCTGCTTAGTTGACATCCGTGTGAAGGAAGTTAATAAAAGCATCAGCCACAATTGGGCTTGGCTGTGGCTTCTACTGTGCGACATTTTCCCCAAACAGAGAGACAACATTTTAATAGTAACATCGCACTATTAATAAGTTATTCTATATACGCTGGAATTCATGACTATATTAGTTACACAACAAACCCCTACAACTGCACACGACTTTCCCATCCATCCACCGGTCTATCAATTGAGGGCGGACGCAATGAAGCTCCAGCGGGATCCCAATCTATTGATAACGGCTCATGGCTTCTGTTATATTTCATCCCTTTGAACCATAGTTCAAACCTTAAATCTGCTGGTGCAATTATTACTCGCACGGTAAAGGTAGCGAGATAGTATTTCTTCCGTTGTCAGAGCTTTCGATTTTTCGGTTCGAATTCTTCCTCATCGACCTCCTTCAAATCCGAGTGCACAGTGCATAGTTTTGAGACATTGGCTGCAGCTGTTCGTTGATCTTCTATATTTTTACTGGTGGGATTGGAACTCACAATGTCTGAAACTCGTGGGTAGATTGTTACGATCTTCGTGGGAAATTACAATCACTGTATCCCATGTTCGATTATTGTCTCCCGGAATAATCTTCCTCGTGAAAAGTCGGTCTCGAGCGGAGTCAGTCTCGATAGTGTCATCCTTGATCATTGTAAGAATGAGGAATTGGTTTGTGGAGGATTTCATTCACTATACCTTTTTTATAATGGGTCAATTTGCATCGTCGCCCATTTCTGCTTCTTGTTGTAAGGATCAGTTACGATGGTTTCTCCTACATGAATCGCGGGGTCGTATTCCTGACGACATAAGACACCATAACTTGCTCTCGCTCTGTGTTTTTTCTTGTGTTAATACTGTCGTCATACAAAAAGCGAAATGTTTGAGATACGAACACTCTAGTTTTCAGAGTCGCCGATCCAACTTTTATTCTTCGCCTTCCATCTATTACCAATCCCTTTACCACTGAAAGTCGTGGCTCTCGAGATTTTAAAATTCATATACGATGCGCTATTTGGCGAGGATTTCGATAGAAGTATTCTTCAATCTTGGTCTTGACATATTGTGAACCTCCAAGACCGCCACTCAAGACAAGGAATTTCTATGCATTTTGGCTAAAATCTCGTTTTTTTCGTTTCAAAATAACTTACCACATCATCATGGCTTCTATGCGTTTGCATCCAATCTAGTTGTTTGTCGATTTTACGTATTATACCAGAAATTTGCACGTCAAACGGATGTTGTATTTCGAATCTATGTTTTGTTAGCATCGATCGCCTTTTATATTCATTCACTCACCTTGAAAGTTGCATTCCACCTTTTTCAATCCGAATTCCCGGGTGATTTAGTTCTTTGTCAATCCCAAGTCCCAATTTATCAAGTCATAAGATATACATAGCATGATTACCTGAAGTCGTTCCGAAATTATGTTGAATAGACTGAAAGGATGAACTTCTCGCTAGTTTATGTGCAGGATTATCTGGAAGTTCTATGTCGGGATACGCATCCAATCGATTCGGTACGAGACGTTCGAATGCTCGATCAATCACTGTCGATCCGGTACCAACACCCTTAACTTTTGCTACCTGCTTCAATGCTGGTCTTTCTGGGCTTGGATCCGCTACTTTGACAAGACCAAGGCTGAGAGAGGTGATTAACGACTATGACTTAATACACTCACAGTGTGTCATGATTTGAATTTGAACTGGTACTTACTCGGTCGTTCCTCCACCTGCATCACAAATGAGGATGATATCTCCTTTCTCAAGCTCGATTTCAGAATTTGTCACAAAATAAACAGCTGCAGCTTCAGCTTCGCTCAATTCCAATTTCGCCGAATGCTTATCTGGATTTTGAGATGTGAAGCCTGCCGCACTCATCGCTTCTATGAATCTATTGACCGTGTCTTGAGCATCCCAGGTGGTGGGAAGGCTAAAAACAAATTCGATCCTTTTCTCTTTCCAACTCCCGGTAATTGCTTCAATACACAGTTTCACGTGCATATAAATCTGATGTGGATAACCCGTCACGAAATATTTTGCTTCGTCAACAGTTTCGGGCATATCTCTTACACCCCCTCCCGAGCTAAATCCAAACTATGCTGATCTAAGTAGATCTTGAAATGCTCATGTACTTTTGCATACTCGTGATATTCATCATCGGGATCACAGGAAACCCCACACGGTTTCATGTCTACCATTCGCATTGCGTGAATATGCAATCGTGGTTGGAGCTTCTGTTTCCTCGGAATCGGAAGGTAATCCGGGCCATTCTTGGATACTTTTGGTGGGATTGCTATTGCTTAAGTTGGACTATACGACTCCTGGGAGTGGTGTTTAGTATTTTCGTTTGTTCAGTGTGTGGTCTAGATTTACCAGTGTATGTCTGTCCAAAGTCAATCCCTACAATGATATCTGGAGCGTTGTCATCGAAGGGAGCCATCGCGACTGATGTGGTCTCTTTTCCGTGTGCTTGAAAATCTCTCCGGGTGGAATCGAGAAGGATGGAAATGAAGAATTTGTGATCAAGAGGAGTATTGATTGATTTTGAAGGTGTATCTTCCTCGAAGAATTTCAATAGTTGCACAGCACAATCATCTTGGATAATTTGACTTTTTAGATACACCTTGTCCAAGAACGTAACCATCAACCAGGCCATTTGTAATCTATTTGACAGTGTCGCTATACATTCAGCCCCCAGATTTCTATTCTTATTTGGAGAATTAGCCAATAACTGGTATTTCGCCCGCAATCTTATCAGCCAATCAACTTCGTTGTTTCTATCCCTGCTTGATTCTATCATTCGAGACTGTCATACTCATGTATGTTCATGCCACCACAAAGTAAGTGGGTGTGAATGCTCAAGAACTAGACTTCACATGGAGAGAATAAATCCTAAATCATGTATCTAAATGGAATTTCAAATATTTATTTAAATATCTAGTATTTAATCTAATCTAGAATATTAAAAAGATCTGATTGTTGTATTTAAATTAGAATATTTGAAATGTTTCATTATAGAATTCATTAGAAGATTGATTAAAAGGTTTCCTTGGTGTGGAATTTATTTTTGTTCGTTGTGTGTCATGATAAGACTTTTGTAATACACCTGTCAGATTGAACTTGCTTCTTAGCGATTCAAACCGGAGAATAAATAAATTTCGAATATCAACTAAGTCGGGTACCCTACTTTCGGGCCACCCCCCTTTTGGGCCACTTTTTACATCAAAAATGGAATTTTTAACTTTCTTATTTATGAATAGAATTTATTGAAAATTTGTATATATATAATTCAAATCGTTTTGAATCTAATCTGAAAATTTTCAATAAATTCTATTCATAAATAAGAAAATTAAAAATTTCATTTTTTAAGATTTTTGATGATAAAGAATGACCCAAAACAGAGGTGGCCCGAAAGTAGAGTACCCGACTTATAATCTTTAAAAAAAAATTCAAAACAGAGTACAGGAAATAGAAACACTAATTACCAATTAGAGCTTTCGAGTTCCCTATCGGATTGCAAACAAAACGAAAGCGCTGAGTTTCAATTCTACTCTCTGAATAATTTTCCAAGTCGAAACAAAGGAGAAAGAAACTCTGATTATCAATTCAAGCCTTCAAGTTCCCTACTGAACTATAGATAAAACAAAAGTAACGAGTCTTAATTCTTTCCTTTAAATTCTTTAGTATAATGTAAAAGAAGAAAGAGAAATACTAATTAGTGACTAATCAAAACTTAATTATTAATTATAAGTATTAAATCATTTGAAAAGGCATCAAGAAGAGAACTATTTAAAGCTAAATAATTAGAATATTTTATATAGTAATGATATAAAATAGAATAAAAAATCTAATATATTTAAGACTAAAGAGTATGCTTATTCGTAGAATATTAGAGTTGAAGAGTCAAAACAAACAGAAAGAATTGATTAAGTACTTATCTATACACCTTGACCACAAGACTATTCAATACTTAGGTACTAACATTCATTGGGTTAATCATAAAGAGAGAACCAAGCAACGATTCAAAGAAGCCAGCCAAGGTGATGTTGGACAGGGAACTACAAAACGCGTTCTATCTGTTTGGCGTAAAGCATTTGGCGCATATTCAGATCATAAATGATTCTGTCGATGTATCTCTCAGGCCGAAAGTAAAAGCGTATGATCATAATAGACGACCAGGAGCAGGTGCACAATCGGGCAAATATATGCGAGTTCCGAATACATTTGATGAGGAAGACGAAGATACACCTCTGAATCGAGCTAATTGGTGGGAGGAATTTGGATTGAGAAGTGAATCTGCTAGGGTTTGAACAATGACTTCTACCATAGAAACGTTAGAAAAGAAGGCGGTGAAAATGTTGCTGTAGCTTCTTCAATTTTGATTTCTTTTGTAACTTTACCTTCTCATCTTCCAAAAAAAAAAAACACAAATTTCACACAACCAACACATCAAGTCAGAACTATCGGCGCAGAGGGCAACGAGCAAATTGCTCTGTTGATCCCATTACCTTTCTATTTGCTCTCCTTTTTAGTTGATATGTCCTTTTTTCTTATTGATTTTGTCTCAAATTTGAACGTGTAAGACTTTTGTTCACTCCATGGAAAATACCTACTTTCGATCTATCGCTGACTTTTTATTTTACCAGATCGAAGCCGCTAATTTCTTAGAAACAAAAACAAGCCGAACAAGTTCTTTTCATAATGTTAGAATTTTGTTTACTCTACTCAATACACTTACTTTCGATCTATTGCTGACTTGTTATCGTGTCAGATCGAAAACTTCTTCTGGCCTGCCCACCCTCTCACTTTATTCTTCTATTCTTTCGCAATTCAAAGAACGATACGTATTCCCGTCACTCACTGTTGGTGAATAATTACTGACGTTTATAGTAAATTCTTAGGCACCATGTCTGATGATGCTTCGAGAAGCATGGTACCGTGAACACCAGCGGCTACCAGACGTATGCATTTGCTTGAAGGGGACACAACAAACAAGCGTGTGAGGTTAGCTGAATCAAACTAGCAATCCACTCCCAGTGGAGCAGAATCTCCAGCCAAACACCAAGAATCAAGACTTGGTGTCACCGCATCTCAGCCTGTGCAGTCAGCACCAGTGGGAACAACTTCTGAAGATGAATCCTCGGCTGTATCGGCTGCTACGAGAATTCAATCTCTTCTGACGACACCACAAAAGATATCAACCCCATTGGATCTAAAGGGGCCCTACACCCCAGCTAATACCATATATGTTGCAAGGCACATTCAGATGCATTTCTCGAAGGAGCCCAAGATTGAGTCCCGGTAGATGGACATGGAAATGAGTCCGAATAGGCTCAAGAATATCTGATCTTCGATCCTATGAGACTCTATAATAAGTATACTAAATCACTTATTAATATCTTACTAATTAAGAGATATATTGATGACTAATATATGTACAATATGATTTTATATTATAAAGTTATATTATTATATCATTATATCTTTATATATCTTATCAAACCGATTTATAATGGAATTGAATGAGATGGAATTATATGAAAGATTGTTGATAAAACAGACTCAATTGATTAATTATACTTTCTTTTTATTAAATAAATGATTTTATAAGATTCGATTTAATTAATCTTATTTATAAGTATAAAAACTATTAGGATTTCATTATAAACTATATAAACTTAGAATATTCTTTAAAGAAAACCTAAGAAAAAGCAAGCAAATTCAGCTCAATTAAGCTCTCTCTTATAATTTGTCTTCAATTCAATTCTTATATTATATTCAATTTGTCCTTCAAACTAGAGTAACTAAGTCTTTCATTATTACTAGAATATTATTATTATTATTATATTCTAGAATATTACCTCCAACATTATTTAATAACTTTTATAATGTTTATAAGAATTTATTTAATAGTTATATTAATGCTTATATATAGTAGTATGATCTAAGTTTTATTTATATACTTTTATACATCTTAAATGCTTTAATATATTTTTAATCATATTAATTCAAATATTAAATAAGTCTTTAATAAAATGAACTTTAATACAAGTCTTAAAATACTTAAGGAAATAATAAGGGGAATATTAATAATATGAAATTATTTCTTTAATATTAAAAAGCTAAAGATACTATATTTACAAATTATAATATTTGTATTTAAATTGAATTAATATAAAGAATAAATTCGAATATTTGAGATAAAGGATTTTATATTTTGAATTAAAAGAATTATATAAAATGTATAAATCTTTAAGTATTAAATAAGAAGATTATATAGGAGATGAGAATTTTATATATAATATATCTAAAGTTGTTTAACAGGCTGTTATATGAATATGTGATTTATTGTTTGGCACTCGTATACTGACTGGGCATTGAGTGTGTTGGAGTGAAGTCCTCGTATTCCAAATACTGAAGGCTTTATCATACCCACCATATAGACGTGTTTTCGAGAATCATGGTCCATTTCCTATGAGTCTATATGAATTTATTTATTTCTCGGTGTTCATAGAGTGGCGTTCTGGCATTATTTTGACTTAAAATTTATGGAGCTACAGCGCAAATGTGAAGTCAAATATCAAACCAGAACTACCAAATTGCCTTTCTCATCTCTTTCTTCTCCAAGTCTAACTTTTAGGTCGGAGTAAAAGCTTATTGAGGAACTGAAGTATGTGAGAGTTTGAAACCAATAGAGTTCCGTGTGTCATACGAATTCATTATTGGCAGAAAAAAGTCTACCAAATTCGTGATCCGTTCCGTGAAGATTGTCAAGGGAGTGTCTCAGATTTGAGGATTGGTTCATTGTGAAGCTTAGTAAATTGAAAAGCCTAATTGATCACAAAATGGCAGTTCTAATACTTTACCGTTAGCCGCGGGTATGATTGAGGGTATTCGGATCATACTACTCGTTTATCATTCCGACCAATTTTTGTGAAGTAACATCTATTTCGACGACTTTTCCAGCTCTCGACCATAGGATGATCATTATTTCCTTCCGTTTCTTAGGACTCCAACAATTTGGGTCTTGAGGGTCATTTCAACTACAGTTTATAAAACTCAGAGCGATGCAACACTTTAGAACAGCCTAAAGAGGAAAACACAACGAAAGAAAAAGAGATATCACATGCATTTAAAAATTATTGTATTGGGGGTACCATTTCCTTCACTTCATCTACTCAGCAACGTTGGTATGTCACTTGAAATGAAAATAGGAATCAGCAACCATTCATATTCCGCAACACATTTCAGAGATCAGGTTTTGGGATAGATACCAAATTCTCTTCGTAAAACCTTCAGGAATTCATCTAACGGTAATTCGTCAGAGTAATTCTGAACCATCCACTATAAAAAACGGTTACTGTTACGTTTAGGTGCAGGCGTTTGGAAATAAAACTTACACTCAAAGTCTTCTGGTGAATCCAATCAGGCTTTTCGGCAGGATTTACAATGAGCGGGTGTTCAGCTGCTTTTTCGGCTTCCTATAAGATATTAGTATGATTTGAAAAGAGTAAAACAGTGAGGTCAGAAATATGATATACAGTTTTCTCTAGTGCCGCCTTAGTTTCTTCAGCTGCCTTCTTCTGTTCAGCCTCCATATTTGCTTCAGCTGCCTATAAGATGTCAATATAATCTGAAAAGAATGAAATCACAAGT